GGAGGCGGGGAGACAGCAGGTGCCATTGTGAGGGACACAGACCGTCAGTGTGAGTGACACCAATTTGGTAGGTGACCCGGGCGGAAAGGGAAAATGGGTTAGCGCTTGTATGGGAGAGGATTCTGGATAGTGTCCTGTAGGAGTTCTGATCATAATTTCTCAACTGAGCCCTACTTTTACAAATGAGGCAACTCAGGTTCCAAAGGGTTGGCTGAGGCCTCCTCTAGCCATAATAAATGGCAGGATTAGGTTGGACCGAACACCACTTTTTCTTTTATCAGTTAGCTTCAACTGCTACTTTACAAAATCTCTGATGCTATTCATTTTGACCCATGTGCATAGGGAATGGCAGTAAATAAGATGATTTAAACAGTTTAAAAGAGAACCATTGAGGACGGCAGTTGCTCAGTAGTTAAGATGCTAGACTCTCATATGACCGACCACGGTTCCAGTCCCAGACCTGGCAGATTGCTTTCTCACTTTCCCTTTCTCTCTCTCTCTCTCTCTCTCTCAAAAACAATACTAACAAAAGGGGCTGACAAGTGGCATGGTGGTTGAGGACGCTGGACTCCCACATGGCCTACCGGCGGTTTGAGTCTCAGACCTGGTGGCTTGCTTTCTCACTTTCCCTCTCTCTCTCCCTCTCTCTCTCTCTCTGTCTCTCTCTGTCTCTCTCTGATCAAACTGGAAAATAATAATGATAATAATAATAAATAAAGTTAAATAAAATAATTTAAAAAAACAATACTAACAAAATAATTTTTTTTTAAAAAAAGGAAGCATCAACACATTTTAAAATAATGTACCAAAACCTTTCACACAGGTGTGGACAAACTTGTGCTATCCACCCATCTTCTATTCATTCATCCTTCTTTAATCCTTACTCATTCTAATCTTACCTTTGCAAAATTGCCTTCAGTTAAGCAAGCAGTTACAGGAGAGTATTTAACCAGTCGGTTTTGGTTGAGCTGACTAGTTGTATTACCCTGCATCCAAGCCCAAAAGCTGTATAACTATTCCAAACGATTTGATAAGGCATCAAAATAGAGTCCTACTTGTCATTTAAATGCATTAAGACAGCAATATATTGTATTTCACTGTTACATAAAACGTGAACATACATCAGTTAAATGTGTGTTGTATCTGTCAACACTGTATGGTTAAAAAGAAAAGGGTTGGGCCAGCTGCATAGTGCAGTGATTAGGCCCCATACATAGGAAGCGAAAACCCATGGAGCTATGTCTCAGATCAAAGCCCTAGCTACTTGAAAATATGCCAGGTACATGTACATGTGTGCCCCAAATCCTGATAGGATGGAGAAATGGAAGAAAAAGGGCTGCAGAGTAACAACACCCCATTAAGAAGTTCATTCTTCTCTCTCCTCAGTAACTGTAAGTGCCCTCGCAATTAAAAAGAGAGGTCAGTTCTGCGGCTAACAAACATCTATTGTAGGGGGCCAGCAGGTGGTGTGGTGGTTAAGAGCACTGGACTCCCATGAGGCCAACCATGGTTCAAATTCTGGACCTAGCCGCTTGCTGTCTCACTTTCTATCCTCCTCTGGTCAAATTAAAATAATACTTTTTAAAAAATCTACTGTACAGGGTTGGAGTACCCAAAGTTAAGGAAAGTTGTCCATTTCTTTCCTGACACCCTACCTGCAAAATCAAACCAAACCAAATCTAAACCTCACCGTTTTTCCATACCCACTGTCCGACCAAACTGCTATTCAAAATTCCTCTTCAGAGGAAGATTCAATATAGCTTCAAATAGTTAAATTGGTAATGGATAGGAATTGAGAAGTTTAAAGTTTTGAGGCAAATTGGAACTTTCACCTCCTGAGAACAGAATTGGGAGAGGTGTACAAAAGTGACAAAGTAGTTTTTCTCCCTCCAACTATATTTGATTTTGCTTAACACTTCTGCAAGTAACTTGCCTCTTTGTATAGACATTTAAATATAATTATGTTAGGTATAAATTTCCATCTAAAGAACATCTTTATTCATTACAGGTTGACTTCTAAATGAGCATAGACTTGGAGTTGATCCATTTCAGAAGAATTCTCATTCAAATAAGATAGCCATATAAATAACTGAAAGGGAAGTAATCTGAACATTAAAATAACTCCATATGAAAATTGCTAATTCAAAATTGTGAAATTAAAAATTCTACTAAAACTCCACCACACACACATGAACTATTAAGTTTGTCTTCATTCATACAACTTGTTGATCCAGTTTATAATCTATAACAGCAGCATGTGGCTTGGAAGTTAAGGTAGTTAGATGCCACATGGCCAACAGCACAGTTCGAGTCCTGGACCCAGTGGCTTGAAATTCACACAAGGTGTACATTCATGCCCATAATCCTGAGAATGGAGAAGGGACTGTGGCATGGCCATTCCCCCAGGGGGTGGGAATTTATTTTCTTTCTGTCTCTGTCTCTGCACAAGCACACATGCCCTATAACAAAACTGAAAAAAAAAATTATCTATAATTAAGCTTCCTTCTGAGATATAGGTGTTTAAAAACAAAACCTGGATGTATTTACTTTCATGCAAGGTATATTCAATTGCTTAGGTAAACTAAGTAATGGTAATTTTTTAATATTTCATCAGATTTGGTCTTAAACACATACATATATTTTGAGTGAACCTCTGACCTGAATTACCTAGTTTACATGACTTTTAAGATTTCAATAGCTTAAACATACAAGCAAGAATGGCCTTAAATTGCTTTTAAAAAAATTCTTGCCAGCAGGCACATGCACTTGCCAGAGGGGAGAGAGAGCACACCTTCAACACCATGCAGAATGGTCATATAGCAATCCCTTCTCCTTTTGGGATTTTGAGCTCACATGCACATGGGCCCTGCATGTTTTTCAAGCCACCAGGTCCAGGATTCAAACTGTACATTTGGTCATATGAGATCCAGCCACCTTAACCACCAACCTTAGGCTGGCTCTAGAAAGGCCTTTCTTGACAGAAAATTGAAAAAATAAAAACAAAAATCATCATGAAATCTTGATAGTTCTGCCCACATAAAAATGTGTAATAGGAGCCAGCAGAAGGCACAGTGGGTAAGGCTTTGGATTCCCAAGTAGTTGACCACAGCTCAAGGCCTCCACAGCTTGAAACATGCCAGAAGGATGTGCCTGTATGCCCCAAATCCCAAGAGGAGAATGGAGAAGAGATTGTGGTATGGCCATCCCCAGGGGAAGGTGCTTTCTCGCTTTCTGTCTCTGTCTCTGTGGCAAGTACATGTGCCTTATAGCAAAAATCTCAAAAGAAAAAAAAAATAAAATATAAACAAACTAAAAAAGATGTCTAGAATAATCCCATTATGAGTTTTTACAGAGAGACAAACCCACCACAGGAAGTGTGACTAGGCTGATCACAAAGGAAAACCATATCAAAAAAATTTATTTTTAATCTGTAAAAATGACACATTATCTCAATATTAACAAAGGTACAGGAAATGAATATGCCAGAGCAAACACAAAGCCTTTATGTTCCTAATCTTGAACTCAAGTTCCACTTCTGTGAAACCACACTGTGAAAAAAGGATTTATGTATAGAAATATCCAATGTATGGGAACCAGCAGTTAGCATAATGGCTATGTCGCTGGACTCCCACATAGTCGACCACAGTTCGCGTCCCGGACCCGGTGGCTTAAAACGTACGCCGGGCGTGTGTGAGTGCATGCCCAAGATCCTGAGAGGAGAATGGAGGAGAAGGGATTGTGGCGTGACCATCCCCCCTGGGGGGGCGATTTTTCGCTTTCTGTCTCTTTCTCTGTCTGTCTGGCGAGCACACGCGCCCTACAGCGAAAACCTCTCAAAAAAAAAGAAATATCCAGTGTACATCCCTACGGTTTGATGTCCCCCCTAAAAGTCATGTGTTAAAATCTGGTGAGCCTGGGGCCCAATATTTTGCTTTATAAGAACATATGTAGTAACAATCCAATAATCTGTTTAACCTTCAGCTTTGCAAAACCAAAGATTCTAAATGAAGAGAACAGACCTAAATCTTAAGTGCAAATAGCGAAAATCTCTCCAAAAAATAAAAAATAAAAATAAAAATAAAAACCGAAACTGGGTTTCCCTTCCAGCCCTCCCCGGCCCAACACCGACACCGACACCGACACCACCACCACCCCGCCCCCCCCAACCCCCCGAAACCATTTATCTCAGCACCCACAAGCACAACAAACAAGCTTTGGAAAAAATTCAAAAGTCGACTATTGAGTTCTGGTGATATTTTATTTAGAAAAAGATAAACATCACTGATTCTAAAGATTTCCATTTTTCTTTTCTTAAATGCCACACTAATATTTAATTATAGACATAAAACAGTCCTCAATGACAGAAGTATTTACACACTGAATACAGAATAAATATCATTGATTCATTTTGTATTCCTACTGTCCATCTTCTTCTGCATTTTTCTATGCCTTTTGTAAATCCTTTTCTTTCTTGCTTTCAAATCGACTTTTGGCTCTGGTTTTACCCACTGTATTTCTACTGGTTTCTCCTCAGCTGGTATAGCAAAAACATCTTCAGTGGGATCGTGTGGAAGAATAGTCTTTGGCTCTTTCTTTCTCAGCTTCTGCACATCCTTCACTTGCTGCTTCTCCCTGTATTTTGCAGCAGTCATGGATCTTACAATACGCCGATGCTAGAAACATAAAAGAATAGATGCCTTTGAAATGGAAGTAAACATTTTATATATAGCAAAGACATTCACTTATAAATCTTATGTCTTTTCACCCATGTGAAAAAAAAAAAAGTAGTAATTTGCAAGTCAGCAGGCAGCTAAAACCTAATTTAGTTTCACAGAACAGTAATTACGCCAGAGAGTTTTTTTTTGGCCAGAGTTCTAATACACAGAAGACCAATAAGCAACAAGAACAGCTTACCATGTTTGGTGACTGGTAGTGAGGATTTTCATATAAAGTTGGTCCTCCAAAACTCCCCTGGAAAATCTTTATAAGGTTTAGAACAAAACGAGGTCCTATTTCTACAAGAGCAGCATCTTCTTCTATAATCTTTAGTAAAAAAGAAACATTTCATTTCAGTTTGTCTATTTCTAAATGGTATACTTGTTATAACCTCATTTCCGATGTACCCATAAGAATTGATAAGTAAAATTAAGGCAGAGTTGAAATCTGGCAAATGTTCTATCATTGCTACTTTGTGAAATCTGTTACTATTGATAGAGTAGTTAGTTATAGGAAGGTGTCATGGGAAAATACAAATGCTTTTTCAGTGTGTTCATTTAAAATTGGATAATTTAAATACTGTTCATATATTGTTTCTCTTAATGCATGTATTCTTGAAAATCTGTGGTTAAAATGAATTTTCAAAACTGCAACCACTATTAACAAAATGTATTAAAGCACCCTTTGGGAAAACCCTTTTGAAACTTAACCCCTAAATTGCTTTAAAAATCTAATTCAAGTTAGATTAAAGGCAAATAAAAAGATACATAATCAAATTTAATACCTACTGATTATGGAATTAGGAGGCAGCTTCTGAAGTACAAATACTGTTTGTTGGTTCAGGTATGTCTGCCCTCAGAGATTAAAAGGGGGACATATTTATCTCGTATTGCAAGATATCCAGACTAAAATATGCAGAAATGAACCCAGTTGATATCATACATTATCTGAAATTTTGTTCTTGCTATTCTCTTCCACCAGAGTAGACTTATTCTTCTAAACTCCTGCTTCAAGATTTCTAGAATCACCCTCTTTTGCTCAATGAGTCACTGTATGACTCACTGAACAGCTCTCTTTGAATGCCTTCCACAAGTCTTAACCCCTGCAGTGAATTTTACCCTTTTGAGAGAGAAACTTGATTACAGTATTTTTCCCAATGCTTAGCACAAACTTGGAACCCAATTACCTTATGGATCTTCAAACTATTTCTTTCTAACATAAAATATACAGAGGTTTGTTCAGAAACTTATACTCTATTATCAACTGACAACCATGAAAAGGTGCACAGGAGATCATTTAAGGTAGGAGACAGCAGAAAGTTCTATCCTACTTTGTTTAAAAGTAAATTAAAAATTGAGCAAAACTAACCTGAAAGTTTCGAAACCATATCCTATGATCCAAAATGGTGAAAGTAAACACATGGTCCACAAATGGTTGACTTTTAGGATGATACCGTGGTGTACTAAAGATCTAGTAAAAAAGTGTATGTTAGTTCTTTATTCCAAGACTTATCATACATGTTATAGATAACCAAGTTTAGAAAATGAAAACACTGACTTATACTTCGTTACTAAAAATGCTTTCACGAAAAGACACTTACCTGAATTAAGAGTTCTTTTAATAAAGCATAATGTGGTAATTCATCAAAAGCCTATAAAAATAACACAAACATATTATTTGACAACCCGAGCATACGTTTAAAATCAACTGCCTTTATCTTCAAAGTTAACTAAATTAAATTACACAACTATATCGACTAAAAGCCACCCATGAAGAGTAAGAAAATTAGAACCCATACACTGAATGAAAAACTTACAGGATCAAAAGACAATAGGGGCCGAGAACCTTTCAAACAATTTCCAGTCAGCTTTAGTTCAGCAAGGGTATGAACTAGAAAAATTGTGACAAAAATAAAATTATAACTTTGGCATAATTATTACAAAAGATTATTTTTTCGTTTTTTCATAAAATAAATTTAAAACCAAATAGACTTACTATTTTGAACAAGGAATTTAGCAGATGGTCCATGAGGGGAATTTGAAAGCCTGAAAGATATGAAGAAAGCCTTTTCAACTACTTATGTAAAAAATGCTTACTACTTATTCACAATTAAAAGATACAATATACATATAATACTGAAGTATTTAATTTTCTTTAAGGTTTCATATTTTGTGACAACAAATGTGGTTGCCCCATTCTCCCCTCTTTTACAGAAAGGACTGAAAGAAATCTCTAACATAAAAGGTAGAAAGATTTAAGTCCATTTAAACAAATCATTTCTTCTTAATTGTGCTAGAAGGCATGTATACTCTCCAGAGGAAAAAAGAGGAGAGTGAGAAAGCATCCCTCTTCCTCCATTCTCCCCTCCCTTGATGGATTTTACGCACAATGGGCATAGCATGTTTTTAAGCCACCACATCCAGGACTAGAACCATGTAATCAGCCATGTGGGATCCAGGTGCCTAAACTGACACACCACTGGCTAGCTTTCAAATCTTAATAAATACATTCTCTTACCACATATAGAGATCCTGTTTTTTCTTAGCTTCAAAATAGATACATTTATTGCAGTTTTTCATTTCACAGACCTAAATGAAGTAAAGTACAAGAAGATGAAGTAGAAAATAGAAATGAGAACTAAAGTAATTAAATTTTTATTAATATTCAGATTCCTCAAAAAAATACTTAGGCAGGTTAATAGGTGAGCAAGTTCTAAACCAAGGTAAATTTATTCATGGAAACATTTACAATTCCTATTAGTTATTACACTCAAGGTAAACTAAATACTCTACACTCTTCTCTAGTGGAAACATCTATCGTATTTCTTCTGGGGAAGGAGGTTGCATTTCAAATACTTGGTCTCACTTCTGATTACTGGGAACCTCTTCAGACCAACTCTATGTACAAACTACAAAGCAGATGCCCTAGAGATAAAAGAGCATAATTAACCTTACTGACTACAGGAAAATAGCCCTATAGAACCAAAAAAAAAAAAAAATCAACAGCTATTTTGACTTTCAACTTCTTAGCCTTTTGACTTTAGAGTCACAAAATTTAAGTTTTTCTTCCGCATTTATACTATCGTTTCTAGTGATTTGCTTTAGTAAGCTACCTACAGGACTAGTAAAAAGCAAAGTATATAAAATCTAGGGCTAGACAAGAGCACAGAAGTAAAACCATGGCCTGCAAGGCCCACCAGCTGGGAAGGTTCTTGATTCACAACTGGAGATCTCCTTGAGTACACTGGGCATGTGTATGCCCAATCTAGGCCTAAGGCTAGAGGTGGATCGTGTTGTGACCCTTTTGGATTACTGCCTGTGTGAGTGTCTCTCTCATAGAATAAACTTTAAAAAGGAAAAAAAAAAAAGTACACCAAGTCTATTTCAAGCTGAATTAAACTTCAATGTCTTGAAGGTCCTCAAAGTCACACTTCGGGAAAATACTGGGTTGTCGTAAAAGTCATGACATGTTTTTATCTGTTTTTCTATGCAAAAATGTGTCACGACTTTCCCAACAACCCAATACAAAAACAGGAGTGAAATCTTACTGGAGTATTCTAAACTATAACTATGTAATAGCGGTTTAATTTCTAACAACTTAAAATCTTAGGTTGATCTTAGGCCGGCAGGTGGTGTGGTGGGTAAGCGTACTGGAATCCCATATGGCTAACCACAGTCTGAGTCCCAGATCTGGCGACTTGCTCTCACTTACTCTGTCCCTCTCTGGTCAAACTGAAATAAGCAAATGAATAAATAAATAAAGTTAAATAATTCTTTTTTTAAAAAAATCTTAGGAACAATGCTTTTCTTTCTTACTGGTCTTAGAATAAATACAATGAGATACATGTGTCACTTCTGGGCCCTTGTACTTGTTAAATATTTTTTTTTTTTGAGAGGTTTCTGCTATAGGGCATATGTGCTCGCCAGACAGACAGAGACAGAGCGAGAAATCACCCCCCGGGGAGATAGCCATGCCACAATCTCTTCTCCTCCATTTTTCTCTTGGGATTTTGGCACGCATACACATGCACCCAGCTTAAGTTTTAAGCCACCAGGTCTGGGATTTGAACTGCAGTCAACTACATGGGAGTCCAGCGACATAGCCATTACGCTAACTGCTAGTCCCTGGGCCCCTGTACTTGTCATTTTCTCTAACCATAATGCCCTTTCACCCAATTTCTCCTTCACTTTTTAATATTTCTGTTATAAATATTATGTTGAACATCCTAGCTGCTGAAAATCCAAACTCTTATTTTCTTTCTACTGTCTTTATTTGAAATTATAAACGTTGTTTATAGCCTATCTCACCAACTAAAACCTAAGAAGATGCTTTATTGTTAAACACTGTTTCTACAACAAGTAGAGTAATGCCAGGTTACAACAAAGGTTCAAAAACGTGTGATAAATTAATGAATAAAAGAGACCTTTTTATTAGCGAAAGATAATTATGTCACAGTAAATCTAAGCACTGAAAACTTATTTGACAAGTACATTTAGACTATTCATAAGACTGAAAATTTAATCTATTACTAGTTTGTAATATCATAAAAGCATATTTCATGCATAACTTTAAATTCTGAAAAAATGCTTTTTAGAATATGGATTTTCTATAATATTTAGTGGGTTTCTAACTTTACTTAATAAATATTCATTAATAGTTTTTTAAAGGTGACCTATTATGAATTTTAGCATGACAAAAACAGTAAGGTAGAAAAAAGAGGGACTGGCAGTTGGCATAATGCCTACGTTGCTGGACTCCCATGTAGTCGACCGTGGTTCGAGTCCCAGACCCAATGTCTTAAACTCACAGCGGGTGTGTGTGCGTGCATGCCCAAGATCCCAAGAGAAGAATGAAGGAGAAGGGACTGTGGTATGGCCATACCCCGAGGGTGGGGTCGGGTGGTTTCTCGCTTTCTGTCTCTCTCTTTCTGGTGAGCGCACACGCCCTATAGCAAAAATCTCTCCAAAAAAATAAATTAATAAAAAATAAATGAGGTATCATCTTTGTACTAAAGAAATTTCAATATGCCTTTTGAGATAAGACAATAGAAATGTTTTAGAAATATATAATTAAAGCACTAAACTGTGAGATATAAACAGTGAGTACTATAGAAATTTATAAGACAGGTTCTTGAACAGTTAATAAGGTTCATCAACTTATCTTTTACAAAACAACTTTAAGAAAATAACTGGTTGGGCCATCTGGTAGTATGGTGGTTAAGGTAGCTAGATCCTACATGGCCTTCTGTGAAGCTGGAGTCCTGGACTGGTGGCTTGAAAAACACACCAGATGAGTGTGTGTGCATGTCCAAAATACCCAAAAGGAGAAACAGAAGAGAAAGGACTGCTGCCCGACCATCCCCTATGGGGCTTCTTTCTGTCTTTCCCTCTCTCTTTGGTGAATGTATATGCCCTCTAGCAAAAAAAAAAAAAAAAAAAAAAGTAAGTAAGCCATCTTTTGTGTTCCTAAAAGATTTTTACTGTAATTACTCTCTAAAATTACCTCATTAATCACAAATAATTTATCTTTACGATCCATTTTAGTATCTATAAAAAAAAAGAAAAAGCAAGTAAATAGAGATTGCAAGGCTATTTCAGTCAAGATACACATGAAAATAATATTATCCTCATTAATCACAAATCTAGAAAATAATTTTATCTAGAAAATAATTTGAAGTGTTTTTACATTCTTCACTTTAAAGGAGATTTTATTATTAATTTTCAAGTTGATTAGACCTTACATTCCCAGCCTCTTCAAAAGTCGATTCTTTTTAAAGATAAAGATGATGATTAAATAATAGTTATCCAAAATTACAAATTATGGTTTAAGCAGTGCTTTTTAGACTTCAGTAATTCTATGAATTACTTTCAAAAATGGAAAGTCTGACCAAGTGAAGACTATGTTCAAGGAATCCAGTTAAAGAAAACATTTATTAAAAAAAAACTAAAACCTTAATTAATAAAAATAGCTTTCACTTTTACCATACTTGTCAAAGAAAACTAATTCTGGATTATCACATAGAAACAAATTAAAATTTTTTATTAATTTCAGAAATTTAAAGAAAGTATTTCTGGTTCTTCTAAAAATGTCCCAATAATATTGACAAATTTATTTAAGAAAGTAAAGACAACGTCTAATGAATTCTATGAAGAAAATCTACAATATATTAAACAGAAACACTGTGGCACTTGAAAGAAAAACTTCTAAGGTATCATGGGTCTTTACCTAACAAGACTGAATGAATGAAGAGCAAATACATAAGTATAAAAACATAAATAGGCATGTTTATAAATGCAAGTCTTTAAAATATACAACATAAAGATACCCGCTTTAGAATGAGGCATCAGCGTCCTCAAGTCCTGCATTAAATGTCTTGTTCTAAAATTAATTCCTCTGGAAGAAAAGATGAGAATTCGTTCCTTATTTTTCCACTTGCCCTAAAAAAAAGAAAGAAAAATATTTTCAAGATCTCATACTAAACCTGTCTTGTTTGCATCTAGGTAGTACATCAACAGTCCTGACTACTTTAATTTCATCTCTCAGAAACATCCGTTGGTCACGCGTGCTACACAGAAATGCCCTCCTTGGTAACCCACATGGGGGATGGCCACACTGTAATCCCTTTTCCTCCACCTCTCCCTCCCTTTGGAAGTGTGGGCAAACATGCACTCGTGCCCCACATGCTGCTCAAGCCACTGGGTCAATACACAAACCATGAGGTTGGCCATGTAGGATCCAGCCTCCTTCATCACCACTCCACCAGCTGGCCTCCATCACCTTTGTTTTTTTAAACTGCTGGCGGGCAGGTGCACTTGTAAGAGAGAGACAGAAAAATATGCCCCAATGAGGAGAGGTCACACAGCAATCAATTCTCTAGTTCTCCATCCTGTTGGTTATATTGGGCAGGCATATGCTCCTAGCAGTTTTTCAAGCTCCTAGGACTGGGATTCCACCTGTGGCAGACCATGTGGGATCCAGCTCCCTTAACTAGACTAAGGGCCAGCCCTTCATCTTCAAACTCTCCAATTCCTTATTCCTATCCTAAAGATTCTTTCTTAGCTCACCTTTATTTTATTTCTATTCACTCCATGACAGAGTTATAATCATTACCAGTTTCAACTGTCAATTCTACAAAAGGTAAGGAAATCTCTTGAGACCAGCAGGTAGGGTAGTGGTTAAGGTGTTGGACATTCCCACATGGCTGACCACAGTTCAAGTCCCAGATCTGGTCGCTTGCTTTCTCACTTTCCCTCTGTGTGTGTGTGTGTCTCTCTCTGGTCAAATTAAAATAAATAAATAATTCTTTAAAAAAAAAAAAGGAAGGAAGAAAGGTAAGAAGTCTCTCCAACCCTAACCCAAGTATTTGTCAAACACCTCTAACTCAATACCATAATACTAAACATTATCTTACACCTTAAATCTGGTAAATTCCTCTTGTCTCCCCCTTTTTCCCCATTAAAATGCTGCCACCATCATTTCAGCTTCCTCGGCTTTGAATCCTCCATTAGCCACCTCCCAGAATCCAACCATTACTAAATGCTATCACTTATTACTCCTAGCAACAACTCCTAGTCCTTTGTTATGCTCACTAGCATTATTTAGATCTTTATTACTTTGTATCAGCTGAAAAACTTTTCAATGGCTAGCTTTCTCAGACCCAGTTTCTCCAATAAACATGGCACCAGTTTAATCTAGCAGGGTGGATCACAATCTCAACTCCCAGAACTTTCTAAACTAAATTCAAGAAGAACGAGCATTAACACTGGATTCTAATATATTTCCATTTCTACATTACTATTGCACAAAATAAAGCTGAAACCTATTTAGCTCTATATTTTAGATTTTCAGCATTTGCCTACTTCAATGCCTTTCACTAATTTTTTTTTTCTTTTTTTCCTTCCCTCACTCTTGGACTGTTCCCAATCATTTTTAAACACCAAAAATTCTACCCTTCCTCTGAGACGCAGTTTAAAGGCTAAATCCTTCCTGTCTTACCTTACTATATCCTAGGGTAAAAGCAATCTCTATCTTCGGCATTTCCATAGGATGCCATCAGAGCGTTTCTCAGATGATACTTTCCTATTTCTTACTAGCTCCTTAAACTCAACACTAACATTTACTGGAAATCTACAAGAAGGTCCAGCTTCCTTTTCATAAAATGTAGGTATTTTCTTCCTCTCAATTTGCAACTGACAAAAGATCATGAAACATCATTATTAATAACAGGGCTAGAATTTATACTCATCATTTACTCTTACGCACACACTCGTTTTCTAGAGCTTGCACTCAAACCACAAAGGGCCAGTTACTAGCATCAAGGCACTAGAGGACTATGCTAAGTGCGGGGGACACTGAAACTAATAAATCCAAGGGAACCCTGGTCTCCACCGTATTTCATTTACCTTACAGAGCTCTCGGCTGAATGAAAATTAACTCCAACAACTTGTATTCACCTCCTTTTGAATAATATCTATCAACTTGTATGACTTCTTAAGTTTCTTTCTAAACTCCTACCACTTCAAGAGGTCACGTTATCGTCACTTTTGCATCCCCAAATCAGAGGAAGCCTAACTTGGTACAGTGCACATTAAATCATTGCTGAATACAAGAAAAGCTCCCAATAACTAGATCAGATTATAGACTACCTTTCTTTACCGTTGAGTTGAAGTCACTACTAAACAAGTCAGAGACGTAGTCCAAAGGACAGCAACATTTTAAAGGTCCCCGTACCAATCTTAAGGATCCCTGACAGTGGCTGACTGTTACGGTTACAAGAGTATGAGGACACTAATCATTGGAAGGGATATACTCAGTAGTGAGAAACCACTCAGGAGAAGCATCAACCTCCAAGGGGGGGAAAAAAATATCTCTGAGTAACTAACTGGGAGAAAGAATACTAGTGCAGAGTAGCCACCAAGTTGCTCCCCTGTAAACCAAGGAAGTGTTCTAAAGTCCCCCGCCTCCGGGGGCCGGTCACGTGCACGACAATTAGATGTAAAAACCGTGCTCAGTCCAGCCGAGAGAGCTGTGGGGACCGTGCTCCCGTAACACGCGGATACTCGGAAATCAGCAGAGCAGCAGCCACGCTCAGCAAAAGCGCGTGGGGCTGCAGCTGAAGGTATATCCGGGGTAGCCCATTCTACCTTGCAAACAGGGCCCGGAATACGGTCTCTCTCTTCTTCCTCCACCTCCTCTGCCACGACGCGCCGCTTGTCTGGCGTCCCAACATCTTTTTCGTTTCTTTTCGGCTTCTTGGCCTCCACTGCCAAGCCCCCACGCCGTTTCCTCTTGGAGGCCACCATCTTCCCTCACCGCCTGCGCTCCCGGTCTTCCTTCCGGCTGGGCTGTCGCGTCTTTCCGATCTCTACGTGACCCGGCGCTTAGCTCTATGGTCCTCCAGCTCCGAGGTGTCTCCTTCCGGTCTCGGTGGTACTGGAGGCCTCGACTCTCTAGGCCCGCTCCAGCTCTGTGGTGAGCGGCCGGGGTGGGGGCGGGCTGAGCGGAGTGGCGGGATCCGCGCCGCGTGCTCCCGGGTTTTACGGGAACGGGGTCTCCCGTGCCTCGCGACCTGGCTAGGAAAGCTCTGGTGCGTCCGGACGCCGTCTCAGAGGTAGGGTTTACCCGCCCCGCGGTCTCGGGGTAGTCAGCGGCTGGCGATGAGGCCGTCTGGGACTCTGCAGGAATTTCTGAGGACTCAGGCCCGCCCCCTCGGCTGCTGGGTTAGAAGTCGGGGTGGTGGCGCCGGGCGGCTCGGAACTCTGCGGGATATGAACGTTTGTGTGGAGAAGCCTTAGCCCTCGGCGGGACCGCTGCGGCCGTTACGTATTTTCTTTCTTCAGTTTTTCACGTCTTGTCTCCGTACTGGAGACCAGGAAACCGTAGCTTAGAGATAAACGATTTCCTTCTAAGTTGCAGAGGCGCTGTAGTGGCCGGCTCCGGGCAGTTCACGTCCCGGTCCCTTCCCCTCCGCTGCAGCCCCGGGCTGCCATCGCCGGAGCTGGCCGGCACTGAGGAGGCGTTTGTCGAATCTCGCCAGGTGTTGGGTGATCCGCCGGAGCAGGCGCTGTCCGCAGGAGCACCCCCGGACTGAACGTGCAGAGGACGATGCCTCTCCTAACACAGCAGTACCAGGACGAGAATGAGCAGTACAGTTTAGCGGCCAGCCTTGACAACGTTAGGAATCTCTCCACTATCTTGAAAGCTATTCATTTCCGAGAACATGCCACGTGTTTTGCTACAAAAAATGGAATCAAGGTTACAGTGGAAAATGCAAAATGTGTGCAAGCAAATGCTTTCATTCAGGTATGGACGTAGTCACCTTTCACCCTGTGACATGTATTCTTCCCCCGGTTTAATGAGTTTGATCTTACTAGACCTAAGATAGAGAGCAAAATGCCATTATTTAATTCTGGTACCAAATTATTTTCTCGTTTTACAGAGATCATGGTTAATAATAATAATTAGTATATTAAACTGACCTATAGGCCAGGCAGTTTTCTCGTTGCTTCTTTCTTACAGTAGTGCTATGAGGGAGTTTTCGCCGTTATTTCTATTTTCTGTATCTGGAAACTGAAGCACAATATAAGCTGGTAAACAGCTGAGTTAGGGCAAGTGAAAACCCAGAACGTTTGTTTCCAGTGTGTGTGCTCTTTATCATTACATTATTACTGTCTATTTTAAGAAGTATTTTTCCCTCTTATGGTTGTAATGAGTCTGTTAAGTAATACTTGCCTGGTTCAGATAGAATTTCATATTCAACATTTTTTTTAGTAAAGAATTATTTATTTAATTCCATTTGATACTATTTTTTTTTGACCAGAGAGACAGAGAGAAAGGGAAAGCAAGAAAGCAAGCCAGTTGAACCACGGTCGACCAGGTGGGAATCCAGTGCCCTTCACCACCATGTCACTTGCTGGCCCCCAGATTCAACTTTTTTAATACCCAGTGCACAGTATGTGTGACCTAGAGATGGAAGGATAAATAAGTCATGGCTCTTATCCACAAAAGAAACTGAAAACTAATATCACTTACGCATTATCAAAATATCTGTTTTCCAAATCAGTGATCCTGTTAGGCACAAAAAGGAGGCAAGGGAGGATCAGCAGGTGGCCTGGTGGTTAAGGTGCTGGACACTCCCATATGGCTGACCATGGTTCGAGCCCCAGACCTAGTGGCTGGCTTGCTTTCTCACTTTTCCTCTCTCTCTCTCTCTCTCTCTCTCTCTCTCTCTCTCTCTGTGTGTGTGTGTGTGTGTGTGTGTATGTGTGTGTGTGTCTGGTCAAATTAAAATGAATGAATGAGTAAATAAAATTAAATTTAAAAAAAAAAGAAGAAAGTAGTTCATCAGTGAAGACTATACCACAAGGAAAAAGCAGGCAAGGGAGAGTCACATTTAGATGTAAGAATACTTCATGAGGTTTTGCATAGGATTTAAATCACTGTTACACTTTTAACTCTTCAGTAGTATTGCTCTAATGGATGATGATTTAAAGAACTAAGCTGTTCTGATTGGTAATCAAAAATTATTCTTACAGGGACCAGCAGTTGGCGTAATGTCTATGTCTCTGGACTCCCATGTAGTCGACTGCAGTTCGAGTCCCAGACCTGGTGGCTTAAACTCACACCAGGCTCGTGTGTGTGCATGCTCAGGATCCCAAGAGGAGAATGGGGGAGAAGGGATTGCAGTGTGGCTATCCCCCCTGTGGGGTGATTTCTCACTTTCTGTCTCTGTCTTTCTGATGAGCCCATGTGCCCGATAGCAAAAAAGAAAAATTCTCCAAATACAACAACATTTTCATGTTTAATGTTTTATAGGCTGCAATATTTCAAGAGTTTACAGTTCAGGAAGAGTCTGTTACCTTTCGAATTAATTTAACTGTCCTTTTGGACTGCTTATCAATTTTTGGATCAAGTCCTATTCCAGGTAAACTACTTTATTATCATTACTAAAACATGAAAACGTTATACGTGATCAGAAAAATACAGAAAGGTATTTAGAATATAAGGATTTCTTTTTTTAATTTATCATAATCTTGGTTATATTACATTGAATCACATATAACAATGTAAGCATTTCTTTAAAAAATTGTCAAGTCATTGGGACCAGCAGTTAGCGTAATGGCTATGCCGCTGGACTCCCATGTATTTGACCGTGGTTTGTGTCCTAGACCCAGTGGCTTAAACTCACACCGGGCATGTGTGCGTGCATGGCCAAGATCCCGAGAGGAGAGCGGAGAAGGGATTGGATTGCGGCGTGGCCATCCCCCCTGGGGGGTGATTTCTCGCTTTCTGTCTCTCTCTCTCTGTGTCTGTCTGGCGAGCCCACGTGCCCTGTAGCAAAAACCTCTCTGAAAAAAAAAAAAAGAAAATTGTCAATTCATTTTCCAATGGTCACAAACATGTATTCTAACTTCACAATATTAATTGAAAGTGTTTTTCTAGTTATTCTCATATTTATGAAAGTATTTACTTTCCTCTTTTAAATTTATAAGACTTTGGGGATTTTTTTTTTTATTTGAACTGGCTAAAAGAAGACTTAGAATGTGTCTTAAATATCTTTTAACACGGTGAAATATGTTGTAATTGCTTCATCTTTTTTTAAAAAGAATTTTAATTTTTATTTATTATCATTCTTTCTCAGTTTGCCACAGGGCAGATGGGCTTAACAGAAAAAGAGAGAGAAGAAAGCAAGCTGCCAGGTCCAAGACTCAAACCATGGTTGGCTAAGTGGAAGTCCAGTGCCCCAACTATCATGCCACCCTGATGGCTCCTATAATTGCTTCTTTTCCTAAACTTGTCAGAATTAAGAGCTATTAGTGGCAAACAAAAACATAAACCAATTACTCTGACTCCCAGTTTACTGTGTTCAAAATGCGTGGGTTTTTGTTGTTGTTGTTAATATTTTTTTGGGGGGGAGGAGATTTTCACTATAGGGCACGTGCGCGCACCAGACAGATAGAGACAGAGAGACAGAAACTGAGAAATCACCCCCCCCAGGGGGGATGGTCACACCGCAATCCCTTCTCCTCCATTCTCCTCTCGGGATCTTGGGCACGCAAGCACACGCGCCCGGCGTGAGATTTAAGCCACCGGGTCCAGGTTCGAACCACGGTCGACTACGTGGGAGTCCAGCGACACAGCCATTACGCCAACTGCTGGTTCCCATTAATAATTGTTTTTGAGAGAGAAAGTAAGTCACCAGGTCCAGGAATCTAACCGCAGTGGGCGGTGGGAATCCAGGGCCTTAACCACCATGCTACCTGCTGGCCCCCTGTGCTCGCTTTTTTTTAAGCCTTGTAAATATATTATTTCTATTCCTCCAAATGCTTTCTGTTAAATATATATAGGTGTGTGTATGTATTTAATTTGTTTGGGAATTTTTAGGAATGGTATTCCATTTGGGAATTTCGTTACTGTGAATATGAGACTATAAGGAATTCCTGAAAGAACGACTTACTTCTTAGGAAAGCAATCTGGAGATCAGCTAGAGAAAATTCAGCTCTGGTTTTCCAGAAAATATATTTTAACTTTGTACTGGCAATTTCACTATTATTATTTACACATTTTTCAAAAAACTTGTCAGAGGGCACATATGCCTGCTGGAGAGACACAGAGAGGGAAGGCAAGAAAGCACCCCCATGGAGCATAGTCGTGTCACAATCCTTTCTCCATTTCTCCCTCCTTTCAGGATTTTGAGCACACATGTACACACACCCAGCATGTTTCTTAAACGTCCAGGCCATGAACTATGCTGTTGGCTCTCTGAGATCCAACCACCTTAACCACCAGGCCACAGGGGGCTTATTATTTTCTTACACAGTTTTCCCCAGGTTTTCTAAATAAAAGCACCTACCTTCCCCTCATTCTTCACTCTGGCCTTTTCCTTCCATTAAGGGAAAGGAGCTAGGACGTCATGTCATATTCCACTTTCCCTCTGGTGGTTGCAGTATGAAAATTCACACCACCAATAACTATCCTCTCTTCTTTCCTCCCAATTTGATCTTGAATTTCAAGGAAGCATAAAGAATATCTCCCAATAGAAAGGGTTGGGAGGAGGAGTCGTATGTGTGTTGCTAACAGAAATAACAGACTGGGTGACTTATAAAGAAAATGAGGTTTATTTGCAAAACTTACAATTCTGGTAACTGGAAAATCCAAAGACATCACAAAATGGTGGAAAGCAGAACTTTCAGCAGAGTATGGCCTGTATCCATGAAGTCTTCTCTGTTGTGGTCTGTGTTGATGTGGGCTTGACTTACCTGCTTTTCTCTATTTATGTATGCAGCAGAACTCAATTATGGCAGCTCTGTCCTGATGGTTTTACCACACCCAGAGGCCCTACCCTGGGACACCAAGAAAATAGCTAAATTTATTCTTAACACCTTTACCATACAATCCAAGTCCCAACACGTGAATTTTGGAGGACGTCCAATTACCACCCACTAAGACCAAATTCTAAAAACATGAGCCTTTGGAGACAAACCATTATCCAAACCATAACAGAAGGATCCTTATCATAGTGAATATGCTGACATCATTGTACAGATAATATCAAACGAATATACTATTGTACAAATGAACTTTTTTTTTTTTTTTTTGGAGAGGTTTTTGCTATAGGGCACGTGTGCTCGCCAGACAGAGACAGAAAACGAGAAATCACCCCCCGGGGGGATGGCCACGCCGCAGTCCCTTCTCCTCCATTCTCCTCTTGGGATCTTGGGCACGCATGCACACACGCCCTGCATGAGTTTTAAGCCACCGGGTCCGGGACACGAACCGCGGTCGACTACGTGGGAGTCCAGCAACATAGCTATTTCACTAACTGCTGGTCCCTACAAATGAACTTTTAAGAAATAATATATCCTGGGGCCAGTAGGTGGCATAGTGGTTAAAGGCACTGGATTCCCACATGGCTGACCACTGTTCGAGCCCTGGACCTGGTGGCTTGCTTTCTCTCTCTCTCTCTGTCCTGCTCTGCTCAAATTAAAATAAAGTTAAATAAAATAATTCTTTTTATAAAAGAAAAAAAGAAAGAACATAGCCTATTCTCAGCAATTCAATTACTTGCTGAGATAGTCCAGATAGATTTTCCATCCTGAAATTACATATAAAATCTGAGGTGTTTTTGGCAAGCTGGAAATTATTTTAGAGAGTTACATATTATATTTTTCTCTAGTTCCCAGTTTTCTTGCAGTTACTTTTGGAATTGTCTACACACAGCTGTCATTGTGGAAAATAACCCTTCTTACGAGGAGATAAATGTGCTATAAGTTATGGAGAATAAATTATTCTTGAGGAATTGTGTGTGTCATTTTGAGGAGATTTTGAACTCCAAACTATAACGCTAAGGCTAATGTATGAATTCTCACTACAGGGACTTTCACTGCACTTCGGATGTGTTACCAAGGTTATGGTTACCCTTTGATGCTATTTCTGGAAGAAGGAGGAGTGGTGACAGTTTGCAAAATCAACACTCAGGAGCCTGAGGAGACTCTGGATTTTGGTTTCTGCAGCACTAATGTTATTAACAAAATCATTCTGCAGTCAGAAGGGCTCCGGGAAGCATTTTCTGAACTGGATATGACAAGTGAAGTCCTGCAGATTACCATGTCTCCTGAGAAGCCTTATTTCAGGTGCTTGAAACTGCAGTTACAGTTCCTGTGGTCTGTACTCCGCCCCACTTCTACATTTGCTTAGAAGGAAGAATTTTATTATTCCAGGTTCCCAGGATTTTCAGAGCTTCTCTAATCTCATAATCTTAACATTTTAACCATATAATTTTACTTAGGAACACAGGACAGTGAACTCACTATTTAGGGTGTTGTAGTTATAAAGAATTGGTTTCTGGGTGAAAAGAAGCCCAGTTTCCTAATTCACAAACTAGTGGCCTTTTCATTGTTTTTTCTACTTACTATTGTAGATTAGGTTATACCATGAGGAGAACTAGTTTAAACATTCAGAAAAAGTGTTTATATTATATATATCTTTTTTTATTTCACGTTAATTCAGGATGCTAAAGTAGTAGTTTTCAGTTTGTGATTTATTCACTAAGTATTTATTAATCAACTACTGTGTGTATATTTGTCCATTAAGCACTAGGGGGGGAACAGCTTAAATCAAGGTGAAGAAAAGATGTGTGAAACAGAAAAAACAAAATTGCAATTATTAATCACCAGAGTAATACACAGATACTTGAAGAAACAATGAATTAATACTTAAGGAGGATTGAGCAAAGCCAGCTTCCTAAAGCAGGTCAATCTTCAGCAGGGATACAGTGTCAAAAACTACCTAGCCCAAGCTGTTCCTGATATTTTGACAAAATAAATTATAAAAAGGCAAGTCTCTTTTCAAGATTATAATTGATTTCAAGGCTAGAATCAATTCTAGTAATTTAGAGAGAGGGTCTAAATATTTCTTCTTTTGAAATATTTCAGAATGTTACAGCGTAAAGGAGCTAAATATATATGTCATGAGAGATGTACTTTTTTTTATATCTATGTTGGAATAATTGTAGCCCTTTATGGCATTACACAATTAAAACATTTGGCTCAAGGTCTATTAAAATGTTATTAATAACAAAATAGAGTCAACAAAACCCAATTTAAGCAAAAGTCTGAATTAAAATTCTAGGCACTTACACAGTATTTCAGAGGATCCCCTTCTACATGATCTATCTCAGCATGGGGAACTAGATGGATCATGGTGTCTTTCATCTTCAGGAAAGGAAATGATTTTGTAGTGAGAGGTAGTAGTTGGAATTTTTTTCTGCACATGTTAAATTTGAGTTGCCTGTGACATTAGGTGTAATGGTCAGGCTCAACATTTAATTTGGGAACCATTGTCATGGCTGGGAATGGATGAGGGCTCAGAGAAAGTTCTGTTAGAATAAGAGGGAAAGACCATGGAAAAACCAACACCTGGAAGATGGAGATTGGGGAAAACCAACACTAAGGTCCTCTCACTGTGCTCAAATAGTATTTATCAATGTGCTAACCCCATAGCAAATCTCGGTAAATTCTTGCAGTTTCAATAAACATAGGCATTTATAAATTGTCTATCACAATTGCTAGTATTTCCAAGTGAGGAAAATCATGAGACAGCCTTATGAGTAGTCTAAGATATAAAAAAGCATGATTGCTTTAGGACCAGCAGTTAGCATAATGGCTATGTCGCTGGAGTCTCATGAGTCAACCGCTTTACACGTCCCAGACCTGGTGGCTTAAAACTCACACCAGACATGTGTGCGTGCATGCCCAAGATCCCAAGAGGAGAATGGAGGAGAAGGGATTGCAGCGTGGCCATCCTCCCTGGGGGTTGATTTCTCGCTTTTTGTCTCTCTCTCTGTCCGACGAGCACATGCACCCTATAGCAAAAACCTCTTCAAAAAAAAAAAAAAAAAATACAAGAAAAGCATGATTGCTTTGTATAGCAGTAAAAATTCAGAAGGGGACTGGCTCACAGCAGACTTAGATCAAAAGATCCCATCACTCCTTGTCTCATGTATTTAATTGAGAGACGAGGAAGAGTCAGTATCAGAGTAGAATTAAGGTAATAAAATTGAGGCAGACTCACCTCCTCCACTTCCTCTTGTGACTCGTTTTCTTCAGAACTGTTGATGAGTTGCTAGTTGCCGTATACTCCCACAGTGTCCTGTGAGAACCTTTATTATGATACTTGTAGTGTACTGTAGTAAGCGTTTATTGACATGTCTTTTTCACTGCTAGAAATAACTTTGTTTTCTTCATTTGAATCCTAATGTGGCTTATTGTTGGATCAATGAATAAATGAGTTGCTTATTTCTACTACAGGTTATCTACTTTTGGAAATGCAGGAAGCTCCCACCTTGACTATCCCAAAGATTCTGATTTGATGGAAGCATTTCACTGTAATCAGACCCAGGTCAACAGGTCAGTTATTAATATGTGTTGCCACTGGTGATGAAGGTGATGTTAAATACTACATTTCTATAAAGTAAAAAAGCATCTTCCAATCTGTAAAATACATACCATTTTAAAAAAATATCTGCTAGGGTGCTGGATTTACTTGAGGATCTAGGATTGTAATAGTAGGTGAATAAATACAAAAATCCAAAGAAAATATTAGCAAATTGGATAGATCCTTGATTTTATTCTTATGTATATATTTGATAATTCTTGGCTAATTTTTGTTGCTTACTTGGAGTTATGAGTACCACATTAAGTATGTTCAAATAACTTTTTTTTTTTACTTTTCCACAGATATAAGATTTCTTTACTGAAACCCTCTACCAAGGCATTAGTCCTGTCTTGTAAGGTTTCTATTCGGACAGATAACCGAGGATTCCTCTCGTTACAATATATGATTAGAAATGAAGATGGACAAATATGTTTTGTGGAATATTATTGCTGCCCTGATGAAGAAATACCTGAATCTGAGTCTTGAGTATGAGAATTTAGTCGTGTATGTATGTGTACATTCATGAAAGGTTAGGTTCTCATCCTGAATACAGTACTCTTCATGATTTCTCGCTAGATTTTCCAGAGGGAAGAAGCATGGAGAAGACAAGGCCCCTGTACCCTAATAGTTGCTATATATTTTATAAATAAACATTTTCATCCAGTCACAGATTATCTAATATTGGACTGTCCTGTAGTTCTATCTTTTGAACTCATGGGAATCAGTGTGAGCCAAGATGAAGAAATATTATGCTCTATTTAAGTAGAATATTTCAAGAGTCTAAAATTTTAAAGTATGACAAAGTTATATCTGAAGATGTATTTATTTATTTACTTCTAGAAAAGGCAAAGATATATGGGAATTATTTATTTGAATTCCAGAAACTAGATCTTACAGCAGTGGTTCTCAAAGTTGTGCCCGACTAGCAGCATCAGAATCACCTGGGAACTTGTCAGAAACTGGGTGGAAGGTGATGGGAAGGTACGCATTATTCTGTATTTCAACAAGCTTCCCCGAGGAAATTCCGATGCATGCTAATGTTTGTGCCATGTTTTAAAACATACTGTTTTTTAATATAACTTATTTTTTTAAATGTATCTTTGGGAGAAATCTATAAACAGATATAAAACAGTCTTCAGAGTTAAGAGTTTTTCTTCAGTTCTCAAAGTCCCTCTTACACACATACCTTCTATTTACCTAGAAGAGTTTCTTGCCAGGTGAAGGTGGAGACAACCAGTTATTTAAGTGATTTTGTACTTTCCTGGACAATTTTCACTGAAATAATTTTTATGACATGTTATTTTTTGTATTTAATAAAACATGATTCTAAAATTTTCTGGCTTATACTCTAGTAGAAAGAAATGATAGGGTTAAAGTGGAATTTCTGTTTTTGTTACTATATCAGATGACAGCTACTCAGTGTTTCTCCATGAACAGGCACAATTGACCTTTGGGGTGGGACAGTTCTTCAAGGGAAGACTGTTATCCCCTGCAGAATTCATTTAGCCTCCCAGCCCTTACTCACGAATGCTGGTCATTGTGACTGCCTTCTCCTAAGGAAGAGTGCCCCAAACTATTGATGGTTGAGAAGGATTCAGTGATATTCACTAAAGGCTGAAAGTATATTAGGAATGCCTTCCCTTAAAATAGGCCACATAGCATTGGAGGAGATTGTCTTGGAGGGTTGCAGCCAAGTGCCGCAGGAGAGGCTCCTCCAGAACAGAGGAGGGCGCTGCTTCCCAGGTTTCTGAGCAATGCTGGGAGGTTGCCCAGTGTCAGTACCTGATAATGAGAATATCTCCCAAACAATCTAGGGTGCCCAACTGCTAAAAACGAACTTGGAATTTCAAAAGTGTAGTATGTGTTCATGAAGGAAATGAATGAATCTATTGTACTGTTAATGTTTATTGTTTTATATAATCACCAGGAACAAATTTAAAACATAATTATGAAAATACTTATTTAGTCTATGTTTCAGTGACAACAATTTTCCTCTAGTTTTAAAATAGGGTAGTCATTTTTCTTTTTTGTTCACAGATAAGTTCAGTACCTACTTAGAACAATACCAAGTATATAATAGGCATTTAGTAAATATTTTGTTAGATGACAACTTTCAGGTTATCTTTTAGAATCTTAGTCACCACCTAATTCTGCTTATTTAGTTCTAAATTTTTAAAAATAATTTATTATTATGAGAAGGATTTTTTTTTTTTTTTTTTTTTTTTGCTATAGGGCATGCGTGCTTTCTGGAAAGACAGAGACAAAGACAAAGCAAGAAATCACCTCTTGGGGGAATGGTCACAGCTCAATCCCTTTTCCATTATCCTCTCAGGATCTTGGGCACACACACACACGTGCCTGGCATGAGTTTAAATCGCTGGGTCTGGGACTTGAACCATAATCCACTAGATGGGAGTACAGCAATGGAACCACAATGCCATCTGCAGGTTCCTTTTTTTTTTTTTTTTTAATTTGACCAGAGGCAGGCAGACAGAAGGTGAGAAAGCCAGCCACCAGGTCTAGGACTCAAACCACAGTCAGCCATGTGGGAATTCAGTGCCTTAACCATCACGCCACCTGCCATCCTCCAGTTGTTTGTTTTGTTTTGTTTTGTTTTAATTTGCCATAGGGCACCTGTGCTCTCCAGAGAGAGAAAGCAAAAAAGCACCCCACACCAGACATGGTCATGCCACAATCCCTTTATTTCTCCCTCCTGTCAGGATTTTGGGCATGCATGCACACATACCCAGTGTGTTTCTTAAGCCAGGTCCAGGACTCTTAACTGTACAGCCTGCCATGTGGTATCCAGCCATCTTAACTGCTAGGCCACTAAAGCTGGCCCTAAAAGTTTTTTATCTTTTTTTTTTAATTGAACTTAAAAAGAACTTAAATATAAATCAGTTTAATAAAGATGGATAGTGTACATATTTAAAATTGTCAGTTTAGCTGAATGTATCTTCAGCTTATTTAGAATTCAAGTCACCCTAACAGCAAGATCTGAGTTAATAAGAAATTTCTTCTTTATTAATATTTGACCTTAGCTTTTTTTCCCTAATTTTGGGTTTCTATTAAAGACCACTAGAGGGAGTGCTTCTTTAGGCAGAGCAGATAATGCTTTGGTACCACTGCAGTTTCATTTCATCTGTAGCATATAGAAGACAGTCTGACTTTTAAGAATTTCAGTTTTTATTTTTTGAAGTTTATCTCATTTTTTTAGTAAAATTTCTTAACCATGAATGGGTAATTTAAGTGCTATGCTATTTCTGTGGTGTTTTCAAGTAGTCCTAGTAAAAGTTAATTACAGTCATGGAAAGAGTAATGTGTGGCATTCTCAACAGTTGGTGGAGGGGATTTTTGGGAACAATTTAAACTCCCTTCTCCCCTTATTTTTCACATTGCCTATCCCTTATCCCTACCTGGAATAAAATCTATTGTGTCCTGGGGCCAGTGGGTTCACTCCCCTCACCCCCTCTGGTGAGCACACATGTGTTATAGCAAATTTAAAAATAATAGTAACAATAAATAAATATATTTTAAAATCTGTTGGGTTCTGAGAAACTGGGGAAGTTTTGGAATGTTTTGTCTCTTCCCACTTTTGTGATTTGCCTTCATTGTCTTCAGAATGGGCAGCGCTGCATTTGTAGTACGTCCGATTCCACGTAGCCCGACTGTACTGCTGGCCCTACTAATGACTGCCTCTCTAGGAGCGGACCTATAGTGTGCTCATCGGAAGCACCGCAGGCAGAGCTCACAAGTGCTTCCAGTGTGTCAGGCTGGAAGTATTGCTCATTATAATTAGCAGAATAAATATCTGAAGTAAGTTTTCATAATTTTTTAAGTTTTCCTTTTGAAAGGAATAGTTTATGATCATTATAATAGTAGTAGTATTCAAGATATGTGAACTGACCAAATTATTCTCATCTTTGCATGAAAAGAAATAATCTATTACAGTAAGGCCTGTGGCCTGTACTATTCGGTGTGGTGCCTAAGGCTTGACCCCCTACATGAACTTACTTCCTGCCATTCTGTCTAAGGATTGCTATTGCTAACTGGGTTAGGACCGTCCCATCTCCAAATATAAACCTACCTTATGCAGACCTTTCATGCAGAGTGGTAGATGAACTACCAAAACAGAAGTAGGGCTTCACTGAACCTAATAGGTTGCACAAACGTTTTGTATGCTTGTTATTAAATGCACATTGAAATCTGAGACAATTTGCTTTGGGTGTTTTGTTGTTATTTGGGTTTTTGTTTTGCTGACTTGGTACAGAGATTGTAGGAAAACAGCTAACCCTCACCTCAGCAATGTCAGTACCTGTTAGCTATTTCAAAAGGATTATAAAGGCAGTGCATATTGGCTCAGAGCTGTTAGAAATATCAGGTGTTCGATTAGACTGGATTATCCAGATTGCTGGTTCCCACTGATAGAATTTATTTAGAAAGTACCTTGGTTATCTAGTTTTTCAGTGAGAACATAACATCTTTTTTAAAGAATAATTTTATTTTAACTTTATCCATTTATTTATTTTAATTTGACAAGAGAGGGATAGAACAAGAGAGAGAGAGAGAAAGTAAGTGAGAAAGCAAGCTACCAGGTCGGAGACTCGAACCACTGTCAGCCATGTGGGAGTCCAACACCCTTAACTGCCATGCCACCTACTGGCCCCTGAGAATGCAACTTTATGTTAGGCTGTATTGTGATGAACATTTCCAGTGTGGTTTTCTAAAGACTTTGGGATTTTTAGCAAAATAGTAAAATCTGTAAACATTAGGGAAAGCACAGAGGATGTATAGGACAGTGAAACTACCTCCATAAATACTGTATCATTATACATTTTCCCAAACCATAGAATATACACCAAGAGTGAGCCCTAGTGTAAACTATGGACTTTGCTGATAATGATGTACCAATTTAAGTTCATCCTGTAACAAATGTACTCTTTACAATGTTGAGGATTTTTAATAATAGGGGAAGCTATATATGTATAGTGCAAGGTGTATGGGAAATCTTTGTACCTGTCAATTTTTCTGTGAATCTAAAACTGCACTAAAAAAATAAAATCTTTGAAAATGAACAAACAGAAACGTCTGAGACCAACAAAGGTGCACATTTTTCTTTTCCAGGTATAATGATATTAAAACTGTATCTATTCATTATAAATACCATTTCATAAAAGAGTTTTTTTTTTTCTTAGAGAGATTTTTGCTATAGGGCACATTCACTCACCGGAGACATAGACAGAAAGTGAGAAATCACCCCCCAGGGAGGATGGACACACCTCAGTCCTTTCTCCTTTCAGGATTTTGGATATGCATGCACACACACCTGGCATAAGTTTTAAGCCACTGGATCCAAGACTCAAACCATGGTCTACTGCGTGGGAGTCCAGTGACAACCATTACACCATCAGCTGGCCCCTTCATAAAACATTTTAATATCAAAATCTTGGAAAAGAGACCAGCAGGTGGTGTGGTAGTTAAAGTGCTGGACACTCCCACATGGCCGATCCTGGTTTGAGTCCCAGACCTGGTAGCTTACTTTCTCACTTTCCCTCTCTCTCTCTGATCAAATTACAATAAATGAATGAGTAAATAAAATTAAATAAAAATAATTCTTAAAACAAAAAATCTTGGAAAATAGGGCTAGCCCTGTAGCACAGCAGTTAAGTGCTGTGCATTGAAAGCCAGATCCCACAAGGTTGACTGGCTCGCAGTTTTGAAAACACACTGCTAATGTGCATGTGTCCAAAATCCTGATGGGACAAAGAAACAAGAAAAGGACTGAGGCATGATCATGCTCCACTAGGGGACACTTTTCTCTCTCCCTTCCTCTCTGGCAAACAAGCCCTCTGGTGCTCCACTAGGGGGCACTTCCTCCCTCTCTTCCTCTCTGGCAAACAAGGCCTCTGGTAATTGATTTTTTTTTTCCTCCATAAAGTAACAACTTTACCCTGACAATAAAGAAAATCTGAAATACTAAAAATGAACTTCAAACTCAAGAACAATTATACCATACTTTATTTATTTATTTATGTATGTATTTATTTATTTATTTATTTTAGCTTTTGCTATAGGGTGCGGGCACTTGCCAGAGAGAGGAGTAAATGAGAGAGAAGAAAAGAAAGAAATCAACCCTCAAATAGGATGGCCATGCCACGAACCCTTCTTTTTCCTCTCAGGATTTTGGGCATGCACACACATGCACCTAGTGTGATTTTCAGGCCACTTGGTTCAGGACTTGAACCAGTCAGCCATGTGGGATCCAGCACCTTAACCTTCATGCCATCTGCTGGTTCTATAAAATTTTATTTTACAATGTTAAACTTTATACTGTTTTTTTTGTTGGCACAGTTTTATCAGTTTGGAGTGCTTAGGACTATGGGATATCATGAAAAAGTTTGAGATTTTTCAAGCTACCCAAAATGGAGTGTGAATGGCTACTTCCTTCTGGTACTTTGTTTTTATCACAGCCTTTGTTGAACATCCTTTTCAACTATACATATGAACATAAACCGTTTTTCTAAGGTTACTGCAGTCAATTTAGAATATTCTAGGTAAGACTAGCAGCCTAATTTCTAACGGCTAAAATTCACGAGTAGAGAGAAGGGCAGTGGAATATCTAACGTGGACTTAGATCCTGAGTGCCAGGCCTAAAGCATTCTGGAAATAAGGAATACAACATGGTCAGTTTCTTTTCCTAAATACACACATGTTCAAGGGCTAAAGATTTTGAGCCATCTCTGAATATTCTCTTCCTAAAACAAGCCTTTTTATTCCAGTTTGGTGGAGGCAGCATCGTGGATAGAAAGAATAATCACCTGCCATTCAGGAAGTCTGCTTTATAATGATCAAACTGACTAATCTTTCCCGTCCCTAGTGTCTTCATTTATAAAATAAAAAGGTCTTGGGTCATCTAGATGGCATAGCAGTCAAGGTGGCTGGATCCCACAGAACCCGACTGCAGTTCAAGTCCTGGACCTGGCAGTTTAAGAAACATGGTGGACATGTGTACATACATGCATGTCCCAAATCCCAAGAGAATGGAAGAGAAGGGATTGTGGTGGGGCTGTCTCACAGAAAGTGTTTTCTCATTTTCTTTCACTATTGTCTGTCTCTGACAAGCGTACATGCCCTAAATTTTTAAAAATAATAATAATAAATAAGTAAAAAGGTCCTTTCTGATTCTAATATGTCATAACTTTAGTAAATCAGATCAGGGCAAATGTTTCAGAAGGATCAAACATTCCTCACAAGGCAGTTTTAGTGACAACTAGGCTGTGAATAAAAACATTTGCAGATCATGTTGGGTTATCAGAAAAGTTATGATGTATTTTTCTATGCAAGAATGTGTCATGACTTTTCTGACAACCCAATATTTGGAAAGATTTACCAATAGACTGCTTAGGTACTACAGATTTTAGGGGGGAATCAGAATGGATGGCTGGCCCTGTGGTCTAGTGGTGAAGGGAACTAGAGCCTACATGGCTGGCCATGAGGTTTGAATTCTGACCCCAGTGGCTTGAAAAGCCTGATGGGCACATGTGCACACATGCCCAGAATCCCAACAGGATGGAAAAGTGGAGGAGAAGGAATTGTGGCGTGACCACACCTGAATGGAGTATGCTTTCTCCCTCTCTATCCCTGTCTGGTGAGCCTATGTGCCTTCTTGTCAATTTTTTTTAAAAAAAGTAGAATAGAGAGGGATGAAAGTAGAGTTAGAAAAAGAAATGGAAGATAAAGGAGTTACAGTAACATTAGAAATTATAACTTAAGGCATGTGTCTAAAAGTCTCTCCCCCAAGTTCGTCAGGAACCTGGTTTCTAATGGCTCTTTGGTACTTTGCTTGTAATGCTGTGGGTAAAAAGACCTTTTCTCTCCCAGAGTCAGTGGAAAACTGTTCTGCTTTTGATCTGCCACTACTGTCAATCTTGATAAACATATTTTTGTGATCCAGAATCTTTATTATCAGTAAGGTCACCTTTTTAGTTGACTATCTTGCATGGAGGTTTTCTCTTGACCATTAACAGAAGACCTACAATAAATGAGAAAAATCATTTGTGAGTTTTTCTTGGTTCTTGCCTTCCTTGCTCCATGACTGACCCTACCTCTCCTGGCCCCAAATCACTGCCTTATCTAGGCCAGTTGGAGACAGCTGGCTGTGTCGCCATGATTCCACCACATCACCACAGCCCCAAGTCTGACTCCAGTAGGCCTCCAAAACAGGACTAGAGGCATAGATTTTCTCCCAAGCTCTACCCTTGATTCAGAGAGCAAATCAAGGGTACCTAGTCATCTGAATTGCTATTAACCACAGCCCAAAACCTATCGAAGTTAGGGCCTTGGTATAGTTACTGATTTTCATGTGATTTCTTATAAGCAGAGATTTAAAGTCTGCTGGCTTTATAAAGTGCTAAAAGACTATCTGTCATTCCTGTCCCCAGCCATTATGATTTCCTAATACTGGAGGGCTTGATCTAGAGTTAGAAGTAATATGGTTCAAAGGACCATTTCTATCGTGTATTCTTTAACCACATCTTATTTACACCTCAAGCCTGAGAAAAGTGTGGTTTCCATAGTCTTTATTTACCTGGAGAAAAAAATTCATAGAAATACGAGACACAAAATTTCATGAGCAACTTGTGGTTTTTTACTATGTAAATCCCACTAAAGATTGTCTCTGTCTGCTACTGAACTGTATGAATAACTTCCTTCTCAGTAAACTAAGAGATAATGTGATTCCAAATTAGCAGAGAAAATAAGAGGTCTCACAAATTCAGAGGCCAGCAAAGATCTTAGAGGGTGAAAATTCTGCCTGAAACATAAAAACTATGCTAGTCAGCCTGGGGCCTAACACTCTCTAACCACAAGGTGGCAGGGTTCCCCTTGCCTGAAATCTTCAGTTCACTGAAAGAACTGATTTTAATAGTGTATAAATTACTTTGGATTTAAAGACTGTGTCAGACTGTCTTGTCTATAATGTTACATGTGTTTCCAGGGGCAGATACACTAGATCATTGCTAAAATGTTAACCAGCAGTGTTTTCCACACCAGCCTGGTGGCAGCTTTTCAAAGTAACCAGGCCCTAGTTTCATTTGTTCTAGTAGAACTGGGCTTAAACCCATGTGTGTTTGTCTCCAGAACTACAGCTCTTAACTACCATGAATCATAAAGAAAATCAGTTAATAGGGTTGTGCTGAGATCATGTTTCTATGATCAGATAAAATAGTTCATTGATGAGACAGTCATTGTTCTTAAAGACTTCATTATGCCCTCAAGGGGGGCCCCAAATTCTTTACCAAACTCTAAAAGCATTCTTGTACCCTCAGTTCAGGCATGTGTTCCACGCTCAGTTTTAAACAAAACCAAACTTTAGGTAGCTCCTCTACTTTGGTTCTAAAGACAGTGAAAAGTTTTATTGGCTGAAATTTAAGTCATTGGCCATTTCAAAAAGAATTTGAGTATACAAAAATAGTTGTGTGGTTTTTTTAAAAGAAATTGTTCCCAACCTGCTAATAACAGGGATGTTTAATATATTCAAAGTCTTAAGAAGCTATTCTTCAGGAAGGTAACCAGTGTTAACTTTAACCCAGCTTGTTTTCTTTCCAAACCGGCTCTCGACACACAGCCTTTCTGCCTCCCCAGCGTAACCAGTGCACATCCCTTGGAAACAGCATTCCCTGCAGTCAGCCCGCTTCAGGAAATGCTGTCCTGCACCATGGCCAGGAAGTCCTTACCATTCCTTGGTTACTCTGCCCTCTGTCATGCCTCTGTGCCTTTGCATGCAGAGTTCCTCCTTCCTGGAATGGCTTCTCTTCTCCATCTGGATGAACTGCTACTTGCCCTTGAAGAAAAGGGTCAGATGTCACCCTCTCTATGAAGCCTTTTTCAGCTCTCATAGATTCTCTCCCCTTTCTGTTCTCACCACATTGAGAACTCTATTCCAGACCTTAAACTTCATGTTCTCATTGCTTCTTCATGCTTACAGTTTGCACTAGATTGCTGTCCCTTAAGATGAAGACCATCAGGGGCCAGCAGGTGGCATAGTGGTTATGACATTGGACTCCCACATAGCCAACTGTGGTTCAAGTTCCAGAAGCAGTGGCTTGAAAATCACTCTAGGCATGTGTTCATGAGTGCCCCAAATCCCAGGAATAGAATGAAGGAGAAGGGACTGTAGCATAGCCATGCTCCTAGGAGGTGATTTCTCACGTTCCCTCTCACTGTCTCTCTCTCTCTACTACAAGCACTTATGCCTTTATGGCAAAACTTGAAAAAAAAAATTAAATAGATTAAGACAATAATATTATTTATCTTTATTACCACCTGCAGCTCTAACTGTACCTGGCTCTGTATTCACCAGATGTTTACTGAAAGAATGAAGGAAGATGAGGAATGGAGGCTCGAATATTTAAGTGACTCAGACTCACTCCTATGACCCAGTGATTAAGGCAGCCAGATCTCATATGGCCCACCACATGGGTTTAAGTCCCAGACCTGGCACCTTGAGAAATACACCAGGGACATGTGCATATCCAAAATCCAAAAGAAGGGAGAGTGGGAGAAGGGATTTCAACATGACTATTCCCAAAGGGGGGGCAGTGTTTTTTCTTCTTTCTCTGTCTCTGGCAAGCACACATACCCTTTAGAGGAGAGGGGAAAAAAAAAAAGTTTAAGTGACTTTAGGTTCCATAATTCATCCTTCATAGTGGATTTTGGATTCACGTATAAGGCAGTTGGGATTAACACAGAAGGTGTCCTGACTCAAGAGTACACTGCTCTTTTCCCTATACCTAAATAGCAAATATGTGGTAGAAGGTCAGCTCTTTCCCCATGCACACCTCACAGCAGACAAGTTCAACCAAGCCCAGCCTTTTGCTCTGGAACCTTAAGCACCCCTCCGGGAAACCAATATCAGAATGAGCCCATGAGATGAGGTATATTTACCCTCCTTGCCTTACTCTGTGCTATAGCCTCCTGTCAGTCATTTTGTGGGCATGGCAGAGTGGCTGTTCCGCTAAAGACAAGGTGCCCTGAGCAGGCTCTTCATGGTTTAGCAGCCCTTGTTCCCCATAGGGAGACCCTAAGGCAGGGCCCAAAGGCTCCTGAGTTTTCGCTTCTCTACCTGCCTCAAGGCTTCCAGCTGTTTCTAGAATCCTCACTTAGAAACGCTGCTGCCCCTTGGCACCTGGGTGCTAGAACAGATTGTGCTCCTCCCTCATTCATACTAGGATTTGGCCAAGTATGACATTAACTACTACTAACAAACAGAAGTATCTTATATTAGAGGGACCCCTTTGAGAGGTAATGAGTGAGTTCCTAGTTATGGGAAGTGTTTAATCACATCTGGACCAACAGCAATCTCAAAACTCTAGTCTACCAGTATAGCTCATGCTATGGTCAGTAATATCAGTGATAGTTTTCTATTTGCCAATCTGATGGTTTCTTATTAGTCATTATTCTCTTCATATCTGCAATCATCGGCACCTCCAGCACATACTAAGTGCCGGCATCTTTCTGAGAAGTTTTACTGACATTAACTCAGTTTTTCAAAATAGCCCTATAAAACTGGGTATTATACTAGGGCCATCAGGGGCTGTAGTGGTTAAGATACTGGACTCCCACATGGCCTACCATTATTTAAGTCCTGGCCCTGGTGGCTTGAGACACACTGGGCATGTGTGCATGCATTCCCAAAATCCCAGGAGGAGCATGGAGGAGAAGGGATTGTGGCATGGCATCCTCTCTGGGGGATAATTTGTCACTTTACCTCTTACTGTCTCCTTTCTGTCTCTCTCCAGCACATGCATGCACTTTATGGCAAAAAAAAAAAAAAAGAAAAAAAACTTTAAAAAACCTGGTATTATATTATTATCCCAATTTTTGGCTGATGAAACTGAGAAGTACTATGATTTGTTTAAGATTGCACAGCTAATAGATAACAAAATTTAAATTTATAACACTGGCCATCTGATCCTAGTCCATTCTCTTAACTGTCTTTTCATGTTTGACACACATACTATATTCTTTAAAAATGTGCCTTTTTATTATCACAAATACATATCTGTTGTAAAAGTAAAATAATTCAAAAATATATTAAGAGACATTGAAAGTCTACCATAATCCCATGTCCCAGAGATAATTACTGTTACACCTTCACTAACTACATATTAACATACAATTATGGATTAATCTAAATACATTGCTCACTTCTCTTTATTTTTTCCTGTTTTTACTCCTAACAATATATTTGGGATATTTTTCTGTGATTCTTCAAAGCTCTTCTTCATGCTTTAGAATGACCACGTTTATGGCCATAAACATATACCGGTGTTTCTACTGTTGGACATTTGATATTTTTGTATTGTTTTGCTATTATACACAAATCCAAAAGAATATATACATATATATAAGTTGTAAGTTTTATATACACACACACACACATATATATACACATACATATGTATATATACATATATTATTTATATATTTTGTGCATTTGTGCAAGAATTTGAAAAAATTCCTAGCACTATTTCAGAGTAAAAGGATATATACTTTTATATCCTATTAACTTTTCCACTAATGCCCACCAAAAAGGTAGTACCAACAAATTCCATTATTAAGAGTACTGAGGGTTGGCCCTCTGGCCTGGTGGTTAAGGGAGTTGGATCCTACATAGCTAACTATGTAGTTTGAATCTTGACCCCAGCAGCTTGAAAAACACCAAGTGCATATGTACATGTGTCCAAAATCATGACAGGGTGGAGAAATGAAAAAGGAACTGCAGTGTGACTATACCCCATTAGGGGATGCATTCTTCCTCTCTCTTTGTCTCTGTCTGTCTCTTTTTGGTAAGCACACAAGCCCTCTAGCAAAATTTAAAAAAAAAAATGAGAGAGCTGATTTGACTCTAACTTTGATAGAACTGGGCTGTGTTACCTATATTTTTCATTACCATAAATATGATAGGTTAAAAATGAGATTTCATGTTTTAAGTTTATTAATTCTGTATGAAGTTGGAAATCTTTTTGTGTTTATTGACCACTGCTTCCTTGAAACTTTCTTCTCTTTTGATTTTTTTTTTTAATGTGCTAGAGGGCACATACACTCATTGGAGAGAGACTCTGAGACAGAGGGATAGGAGTGAGAAACAATCCCCATGGGGGATTGTCACATTGCAATCCCTTCTCTTCCATTTCTCCCTTCTTTCAGGGTTTTGGACATACACACACATGGACCTATGTATGTCTTTCAGGCCACCAGGTCTAGGACTTCAACCATGCAGTCAGCCATGTGGGGATCCAGCCACCTTAACCACTCCCTCACTGGCTGGGCCCTCTTTTGATTTCCTTTCTATTTTCTCCCAACTCCCTTAATTCTCTAAGGATTCTTTCTGAATCTCCTTCCCAGTTCTTTCTGCACAATGCCTAATAACAACAATTACAATAATTAACGTTTCACAGACATTTACTCTGTGCCAATAAAACACTTAAAATAGAGTTCTCTTTCTGTAGATGAAGAAAGTAAGACTTAGGAACTCACTGTAAGTGGGAAAGCTCAAATATGAACCCAGTTGTTCTGCTACTAAAACGCTACATTACGTTCTCTCTAAAATAGGTTTAAGTGTTCTCCAAAGTTCTTTCCTAAGCCTTCTCATGTCACATATTCCATGAGCTGCCATATCCATTCCATTGGTTTCAAAATCTATTTCCTTGAGCTCTTGGTTCACACAGCCAACAGCTTACTAGACATTACTAAATGGATATATGAGGGTACCTCAATCATGATACATCCCAAATAGAAACCATTATCCTCCTCAGTCACCTTAGGTATCCTCCAAGATGATCTCTTCTTGCAAATACTATTCCATTTAGTAGGTTTTCCATTCATTCAAGTGTCCAAACTAAAAACTTTATAAAGTAACCTTTGATTCCTGCCTCCACCTCACACCTGGATTGATCCCAAGGTTTGTTAATATAAACTCCAGACTGTTGTTCAATCCATACTCTACAAATTTCTTCTACTATGGGTTTGGATAATAAAGGGTCTCAATGGCTCTCCTTTACACTACTGGGTCTGTCTCCTAACAGGTCTCCCTGTTTCTCCCTAGGTCCTATCTAACCTTCTCACTGCTATCAGAATTAAAGTTCTAAGGCCAGTAATTAAGCATGTCACATCCCGCTTAAAGCCCTTAATAGCTGCCTTCTGACTACTAAATAAATTATCAACTCATTAGCACAACATATAAAAATCCATAATCTGGCACCGGTCTAAGCTTTCAAACTCATCTACAGCATGTTCTAGTCATATACCTAAAACTATGCCATTCAAGGTCACTTGTTTTTCCTGAGAAGTGCCAAGTATCTCCATGCCCCCATGCCTATTACCTGGAACACTCTCCCAACCTACACAGTTTCCACCCACATTTCGCTTCATGATTTATTACTTGTCCTTTCTGTTAAAATTTGTATTGAAGACTTACTACAGACTAATTCATAATCAGGTCATGTGTGTCTGTTTTCCCAGGAAGGATTATATTTCAAACACTAGAATATTAGCATTTCTAGTGCTTATGAAGAGAGCTTGCTATGTAAATAATTAAAACTGAAGTACATTTGTGATTTATGTAAAAGGTAGACTAAACAACCTTAACGTTTACTTCTAAATCTGCTATTTCCTATACTTTTCTATACTTTAAAACATTATTTGAGGCCCTAGCAACTATCATTTAACCTCTGAATTAACTCCTATTTCAAGGGGCCAGTTCTTCTTTAACTTCTTTGCAGAGGCTTCAAAAGCCAAGAATTTGGGCTTCTGGCAATGGAAGTCCAGCGAGTGTTGTCACTGCCTTTCCAGAGGAGGTGGGGTAAAAGAAAGCACAAGAGCACATCTGAAAACTAGCAGAGTTCCAGGACATCTGGGATTCATTATTCCAGAGAGATGCTGAAGCAAAGAGAGCAGTTTTTGTACTGGGTTTTGACATCTGGGCTTTGGCATCTACTCCAATGGCTTTGCTCAGCAGTTCTTGGGGAATGAGTGCAAGATATGGACTTGCTGCAGGGAAAGGAAGACCTTTATTGACGCTTTACTGCTACAGCACAGTCCTGCTCTTCTTTTCCCCTCACATGGTCTTTCTGGTTAGGTTGTCATTTAGAGAGAAAAGAGTTAGTCTCCAGCCACCTAAGAAATTTGTACTACCTGGAGTCTGAATTAGGTTGTAATGTCACTCTCAATTTCTCTTTTTTCTACAATCCTTTATAAATGGTGGCCAAGAAACAGAAAAGACTGGATGGGAAAGCAACCTTAGGCTATTGAAAAAATAGACTCACTACAACTATTTCAAAGTTTCTCTTTTTTAAACATAAGCTGAGTAAAACTTCTGCTCAGTTCTGAGGGAACATGCATTTATTCTCTGAAATTACATGTTTTGTTCTTTTTGCTTCGTTATTGCCTCAAAGCCAAAAGGTACTTAGATATGTTCAGAGATTTTGAATTCTCAACCAAATTCTCAAACACATAACATGTGTTAATACTGGCTAACAGTGACCCCTGATTTCAAATATTTGGCCAGTTTTCCTGAAAACCAAAGGCAGTGTAGTTTAAAGAAGGAGAGGAAAGGGTGTTTTGTTAACATTTATTGAGCATATATTCTGTCATGTGCTATATTATGCATGTTGTAGACGATTTTAATTAAAACTCCTAAAAATTCTGTGAATTTACTCATACTGCATTTTAGTGATGGAGAAACCAAGGCTCGAAGAGGTCAAGTAATTTGCCTAAGGTCACATATTTTCTAAGTGGCAGAGGCAAGTAAAGATGACAGGTTTGCTGGCAGTAATGTTTATTATTTACCTGTTACTCCTAATGTAAAATAATAACAGGGTTCTGTGTGGACACTTCTTATTTAAACATTCTGACCTATTTATTATCTCCAGCACTTCAGAGAGAGAATTATTGTTATTTTGTGATTATGTTGAAATTCATTGAGCATTAAAGACCTACCAGACCCTCATTTAAGTGCTACATTGTGTATGGTCTCATTAACTCACAGAAAACTCACTTTCTGGGAAAATACTATTATTTTACAAATGACTAAATGGAGCCTGAGAGAGGTTATGTAGCTTCATCCAGGTGAGAGAGCTCAGGGTTGAACCCTGAATTTAAAACCCAGACAGTCTGCTTTCAGAGTGTAAGAATATACCAACAGAGACTTGGAATTAGAGAGATCTAGACTAAAATCCCTGCTCTGCCTCTTCCAGGTAAATTGAGTAAGTCAGTCATCAACTTGCCCATATGAAAAGTGGGCTCTGGAGCCTTATCTGCTGAACAGGTACACTCAGATTCACACATGCACACTCAAATTCAGTAATGTCGCTATTACATATAGTGAAAGAAAGGACATTTTGGAAATCTGATCAACCCAGGTTCAAATCTTACCACATTTACCAGGTTAAGTGATTCTGAATATGAGAGATAAAAATACCTACTTCACAGTGTTGTTTATAGATCATAAATAATACATACAAATACATAATACAATGCCAGGGAAATGGAAGAATCCTATATTATAGTCACTAATTTTTTTTATCATTATTGATTAAGAAAATATACTGTCTTATGCACTAGCAGGCAGAGGGCAAAGTTACCTGAACTATCCTATGGCTGATCCTCTAGTGCTCCTAATGTGAGAGGCTGGAGACTTTTCTTTCTCCCCTGGATAATGACAAAACCAGAGACCATCTTCTGTGGGACCTACCTGAGCTATGGCTCTGGCTGAGTGGGTGCAGACAGGATGAACGGAATATATTTCCCATGCTCACCTTTTCCCACCTGTCTGGCCTGGTGGGTGTGATGCGAAGGGGACAAACTGTGAGCCACTTCCGGTGAATGCAATCAAGGTCCTAACTCTCACCCCTAACAATGTTCCTCCATGTTAGAAGGCTCTCAGGGAAAAGGCACATGGCCTTAAAGTGACACTAATTTGGATCCAAATCTCCAAGACTCAGTGAATTTAGGCAAATTACTTTATGATATATGAGGCCCCTTTCTATGAAAGGAGAGCTATGACATTAGTTATTTGTGAGGAGTAAATTAAATACTTTATGAACAGGGCCTAGCTCAGTTTGAGGAATTTAGTATACATCAACAAATTTTAATTCCTTTCTTTCTGAGAAAAGAATGTAGTTCAAGGTCAACATCATTATTAGAGAAACAAACATCAATGCTACGCCAAGGATAAAGGACAAGGCGAGACTACACAAAACTCTTTTTGGCTTATACACTAAACGTGTGTGTGTGTGTGTGTGTGTGTATACACACACATATAAAGAGGCTCTTTCATTACTAATGTTGGAAACAACTGTATCCCAAAAAACTTGCCTTATGTTTAGGGACCTGGACTTAGTATAATCAGCAAGAAAAATAATTTAAAGTACTCATTTGCTTTGTATTAAAGCCACTGTGTCAGCTGAGACCTTGTTTACAATACCTGGTTATAAAGGGCAGCATTGAAAGGAATATTATAAATACTAAATATTATTGCAGTAGACCTCTACAATACTGTATTCTGAGCGACTATAAGAAATCACTAGCTATCGGGACCAGCAGTTAGCGTAATGGCTATGTCACTGGACTCCCATGTAGTCGACCGCAGTTCGAGTCCCGGACCCAGTGGCTTAAACTCACGCCGGGCGCAGGTGTGTACGTGCCCAAGATCCCTAGAGGAGAATGGAGGAGAAGGGATTGCGGTGTGGCCATCCCCCCTGGGGGGTGATTTCCTGCTTTCTGTCTCTCTGTCTCTCTCTGTCTGTCTGGCGAGTGCATGCGCCCTATAGCAAAAAAAAAAAAATCTCTCCAAAAAAAATAAAAAATCACTAGCTATCCTCAATATAAGACTTGGCTAAATCCACAGCACAGGTAGGATTCTGCCTTATTAGTAAGAAGACACAGGTATGTCACTCCTACCTGGTTGATTTCAGGAGAAACCATGCTATAGACATATAAATCCACACTGATGGTCTAGTTCATGGCCAGGGCCAGAACTCACCTCTGCAATAAGGAAAGGAGGTTTTTCGTCTCTCGGCTTTTACTGTGTTCACTTCCATATATAAGGATTTGAATCATCAAACACTGTAGATGAGGTGAGAAACATATCAGATTAAAGAGAATCAGATAGCAAGTGCAATTGAAGTGCAAAATAATCTCAGGAAAGGACCAGTGTTGCTGTAATGTCACAAGTTTACATTCTGAAAGCCTATATTACATTTCATTGGCCCCCTACCAAGGAGGAAAAGGAGTCTGGATTGAAGACTCTTAGTATGCCTCTGCACCCCTCATACTGTATATAATCTCATATACTCCTGTACACTGCTGTGGATAAAAGAGCCAAAATCTGATGGCATCTCTGCTTAAAATATGGTGGCAGTAGTGGTTTCCACCACAATTCTCCAAATAACTAACCAAGTGAATGGTTACCAATGAAGTCTGTGTATGGGTTCCAATGTTGTTGTGTTCTCATGCTACATGACTTTACTCTTAAGCAGTTTTCCATTTTAAATTTTACTACTAAACTTTGTTTCTAATCAAGACAGAATAGAAGAGACCAGATTTTCCCTCAACTTGAGATAACCAAAAAAAGAAAATTAGACAAAATACAGGAAATTATTTTCTAGACACTGAACATCAGTTATCAAGAGACTATGATTCCTGAGAAAGGAAAACAAGTGAGGTAAAAATTCTGTGTTGACCCAGACTACTCTTTTGACAGAATTTTGTGATCACAATTCAGAGAAGGGGGACCAAATGGCATCCACCAGACTCCCTGATAGAGCTGTGAAGTTGAACATATACCTTGTCCTTTACATCAACTTCTTTCTCATTATATGCCTCTTTTCTTTTACTGTTCACTCCAGGAGAGCTTTTCAACTTTGTCATATTAACCACTGATTCTTTTTTAATTAATATAATTCCATTTGTTATTGTTATTATTACTATTTTTCAATTTGACCAGAGACAGAAAGAGAGAAAGGGAAAGTAAGAAAGAAGCTGTCAGGTCTAGGACTGGAACCATGATTAGCCATGAGGGAGTCCAGTGCCTCAACCACCATGCCACCTGCTGGCCCCTAAACCACTGATTCTCAAAATTGGCAGAATATTAAAACTGCCTTGCAAACTATCAAAAATACAGATTCTTGACACAATTCTTAGAATTTCTAATTCAGATAGTTTAAGGTGAGGCTCAGAAGTCTGTTTTTTTGTTTATTAGTTTTGTTTTGTTTATTGACTCTCTTGGAATTCTAGTTTTGAGAAATATTGCTCAACACAAGTACACCATGCTAAGACTATATTATTTTCAATGTTGCTTTGTACTTTATTCAATTTGTTGTTTCCCTAAAGCCCCTTCTTATTTCATTCTTAGCATTTTACATCTCATCCTGTCATTAGTTCTTAGATTGTCATCATTTGATTTGAAAGTTTTCTTCTTCTCTCCCATTTTAAAGATGCCATCCATGTGTTCATACTTCCCTTGAAGAAGCAATTCTAGTTTCTATAACATTTTCAGGTTTTCTTTTTTTTTTACCTTAATCTTCAAAATGAAGCCCCTTTCCCCCTATTATTTACTAATTTCTCATTGCATTAACTTGAAATGAGATACAAATCGCTCTGGATCTGATTTGTGTGCCAATGTGTATGTGCAGATGGCTCTGGCTCTACCCTCCGTTTAACTGGGTATTAGTTGATCTTTGTCAACTTTTCCTCTGCCTTTGAACAAACTTAGACTTTTAGGTACAGACATCCCTACCTAACCAAGACTTTTGCCTTCATTTTGTCAGTAGACTGACTAGTAAAACACTTCTAAACCCCACTGCAAGAGAACAGACTCTCTACAAGGGAAATCAGTACTTGGTGAGGACAGAAACCAAGGTGCTCCCAATTCCACCCAATCTCAAAATACTTTCATAAGATCTGATACTGCCATACTTAGATTCCAAGTCCAGGATGATATTTGTTTGAGTCTAGTTCAGGCATGGACACAGCAAAAGTTTCTGTATCATATTATCCCTCAGCACATCTAAGAAAGCAGAGAAATTTCCAAAGAGAACATACTGCCTTTAAAGAGAAAGAGGGGCCAGTCTCATAACCTAGTGGTTAAGGGAACCAGATACCACATGACTTACTGTGGTTCAAATCCCAGTCCCACCAGCTAGAAAGACAGGTCAAGCACATATCTATATATGTGTGGCTAAAATCCTGAAAAGATGGAAAAGTAATTACCTTTAAAGGCGCATTCTCCTCTTTCTGTCATCTCTGGTGAAAATACATGTGCCCTCTTACTATGAAAAAGAGAGGGGAGATAGAAAAGAAAAAAAGGAATAAAATGGAAGGAAAGTGAAGGAAACTGAAAGAGAGAGGAGGGAAGAAGACTCTCCCTATATACATACATAAACACGCGTACATATATATACACATACATCATTCCTCATTTTCTGCTTACAAGTCCAGAAGAAAGTGTAACAAAATCAGCCAGCATTCACCTTCTTTAGCAGCTGAATTGCCCTTCTGAACTCTCCTTTGGTAAAGCAGGTCCTGCCCATGTTATAAAATGTTTCAGCCACTTTTTCGCTGTAGTCACCGTAGCTGATGACCTGGGACTTCAATGAAGCCTTTAGCAGTCTGTAAGCCTCCTGGGGAATAAAACGTTTTTTAAAATATCAGCCTGGCAATTATGAAGGAGCATGCAGTTCTAGTCTATGGACACTATGGAGAAGGTATTCTACACCACAGTGATATACATAACCCACCACAATCAGATAGTTGTGAATGTATCACCTGAGTAATCAAGTTTTTGGGTTTTTTTTCCAAAAAAAAGGTCTCACATATTCATAACTGAACCAATCTACCAATGCAGAACATGGAAAGAAAGTGAAGCATTATTTTTTCCAATAAAACACCCCCAAGTGTCCAGCCAGTGGTGACCATTTTCAGCTTGATGTGGTAAGACCATAGTGACCTTGATACAACATATATACATGAGCCTTATCCTGCCCAGTTCTTTATAGACCCTGCTTGGTTCTTTCTCCAGTTCCACCTCTTGGAGTTGAGCCTGATTTTATTACCAGTTTTCATTCGAATCCACTGGGCAATCGGAGGATTTTGTTTCTGTTTCTTGGCTAGAAACTGCTTGATTCTGAAAGTCTTGTGAGAAGAACAGAGTGGCCTACACACACCACAATGGCAGAGAAAAAAGCAGTAATTAATTTCTATTAAGACTTAAAGTTCCGGGACCAGCAGTTAGCATAATGGTTATGTCACTGGACTCCCATGTAGTTGACTGCGGTTCGAGTCCAGGACCTGGTGGCTTAAACTCACGCTGGGCGCGTGTGCATGCGTGCCCAAGATCCTGAGAGGAGAATGGAGGAGAAGGGATTGTGGCATGGCCATCCCCCCTGGGGGGTGATTTCTCACTTTCTATCTCTCTGTCTCTCTCTGTCTTTCTGGCAAGTGCACACGCCCTATGATAAAAACCTCTCAAAAAAAAAAAAAAAAAAGAGTTAAAGTTCCCTTGGGGTCAGCAGGTAGTATGGTGGTTAAGACATTGGACTCCTACATTGCCTACCATGGTTCAAGTCCTGGACCTGGTGGCTTGCTTTCTCATTTTCCTTTTCTCTGGTCAAAATAAAAATTAATAACAAATAAAATTAAATAAAATAATTTTTTTAAAAGAGTTTTCATATATATAGTACTCTTCATGGCTGCCCTATAAAAGAAGAATTATTATTATACTCATTTAACAGATGAAGGAATGGAGAATAATGAGCATTAAAGATCTCACCCACAACCATGTAGCCTAGGTTGACAGTGCAGTATTCAACCACTAGTCAGTCTGAATTATACAGCCTTTACTCTTTTCATTCACTTACTTATAAAAATTTTTTCAAACTTTTAGAAAATCTGAAAAAAGAGTGAAAACCCATAAAATGTTCACAAGATTCACAAATTACTTGCCACATTTGCTTTATTGTACTCTAAAAAAATAACACATACATACACGAATATGTATATAAATAGATACACATATACTTTTGTTGAAAGTGAGTTGTGGTAATCAATATACTTTACCCCTAAGTATTTAAATATGTATCTTCTTCCTAACATTCTCCTACCTAAAGTAACACTGTCTCTCAATAAATTTTGTATTGATACATTAATATATGCTCCATATTCAGATTTCCCAATTGTCCCAATAATTTTTTATAACTTTTAAAAATCTAGACTCATATATTCATATTTAACTTTCATAATTCTTTAGTCTTCTTTAACTTATGAGTTTTCCTACTCTTATTGTCTTTCATAATATTAATATATTTTAAACATTTATGTATTTATTTATCTATTTGTTTGTTGTGATTTTCAAGCTGCCAGGTCTGGGATTCGAACCAAGTTAGCCATGTGGGAATCTCGCACCTTAACTACCATGCCACTTGCTGGCCCCCTATATTAACGTTTTTTAAAACTATAAGCCAGTTGTTTTTCAGCCAGCTCTCTTAACTTTCTTAACCTACTATACAGAAAAAAATAAAGTCTACTTTGGAATTTCTTCATAAAACAACGTTGCTTGTACTCATTTACCACCCAACATGCTTTCTTCAGAGAATAAAGAGGTGTAGATACTGCCGGCAACCTCAACTGAACAGCACCCACTCACTGCCTGTATCAACTATTCTAACTCGTATGATAAACAGAACATTTTGTCAGAACTGAGTAGAACTTGAAAGCATTATTCCTAATGTGTCAAATCAGAACAACAAACATAAAAAGGATGTTAGTTGCTCTTTTCTAGGAAACATTGCCAATAATTCAGGAATCTCAAGAGTCTATATATTACTTCCCTTCTTCTTACTTTAGTCCAAAGTATTTTCACTTCTTGGTAAAGTTCATTCATAAGTATTAATTAATTTACATTCATTCCCTAAGCCTCGTCACAGAGTACAAAATGTGACTTCCCATCCAGAACATACTGCATAGTAGCTTAATCATACATGTTATCATCGATAATTTTCCATTTCTAGTTTCATATATATGTACATATATATGTATATATTCTATATATGTATATGTATATTCTATATGTGTGTATATATTCATATATATGTACATATATACATATATTCTATATATTTGTATATATATTCTATATATGTATATTCTATATATACATATATATGTGTATATATATATTCCCCCTATTTCTCACCCTCTGCCATTGCTCACCCTCCTCCTACACTATCTCTGGTGTCTACAGTTGTTTCCATTCCTTTTTTCCTTTCATTTTATTGATTCACAAAATTTCTTAAACAATCTAACTACTTTCAATAGCAAGTTCAGCTGATATATACATATCTGTGGATACATGTCTGACTTCAGGCGTGAAACTCTGAGTAGAATGAATATATTATGAAGTAGCACTTAGCTGATGCTATCTATATAGCTTATAAGGTCATTAAATAGGCATTTTAAAATATGTTTTAATTTCAAGAAAAGCAGTTTTTGCTTTAATAAATCAAATCAAAGAAATGCTAAGAGAGCTTTGCTTCAAACTTAAAGGCAGGAAACAGGTTATGATTCTGTTCAAATACTAGGTACATGAACCTAACAGCAGCTCAAGACAAGACAAAAATCCTTAAAACCGGAAAACAAGGCCTAGAAGAAAATCAGCAATGTTTTAGTCAAAAGTCATAAAATTCTATTTTACCAGTTCAGTCTCATGTACTTTATCTTCTGTTGTGGTCCGATCCTCCCGATTAAATTCTAGGATATAATATTCAACTCCAGATTTGTCCCTACAATTAAATTGGCCATTTTCTTAGCTTTTGAACTCTTATTTCTGTGTGTCTGTATTTAATTTTCCTGGTATAGCACTCCCTTCAGAATTTCTTGGAGATCTGGTCTGGTGTTGGTAAATTCTTTCAGGTTTTGTTTATCTGAGAATGTTCTTGTCTTTTCTTCCCATATGAAGGATAATCTTGCCAGGTACAGTATTCTTGGCTGAAATTGCTTTTCCCTTAACACTTTGAATATATTTTCCCATTCTTTCCTTGCTTGCATTGTTTCTGATGAGAGGTCTGCTGTTAGCCTGATGGGATATCCTTTGTAGGTAACTTGACATTTCTCTCTTGCCAATCTTAGTATTTTGTCTTTGTGCTTTTGGTCAATCTGGCTACAAATGTGTCTTGGAGAACTGGTAAGGTCAGGCTGTGTGTGTCCTTCAATAGCTCAGTTGGTAGAGCAGAGGGCTGTCATTTTCATTTCTTGTGGAGTCTTTTTCTGGCCTTGGTGTCAGGGTAATCCTAGTCTCAAAAAATAAAAAATGAATTTGGAAATGTTCTCTCCTAATTTTTCTGGAAAAAGTTTGAAGAAGATTGGCATTGGGCCAGCTCCATAGTTAAGGCAGCTGGATCCCAACTGGCTGATCATGTGGATTGTGGATTGTGTCCTGAATCCAATCACTTAAGAAACATGCCAGCCACATGTACATGTATACCCTAAATCTCCAAAAGAAGGGAGATGGAGGAAAAGGGATTGTGGCATAGCCATTCCCCATGGAGATGCTTTCTCTTCTCTCTCTCTCTCTCTCTCTGTCTCTCTGGCAAGTGCACATACCTTCTAGCAAATAAATAAATAGTATTAATTTTTTTTCAGTGTTTGGTAGAATTTACAAGCGAAGTCATCTGATACCGGGCTTTTATTTGTAGGGAGAGTTTTGATTACTGATTCAATCTCCTCACTAGTTACAGGTCTGTTCAGATTTTCTATTTCCTCATGATTCAGTCTGGGTAGGTTATGTTTCTGGAATTTATTCATTTCTTTTACGTTATCTGTATGATTGTTCATAGTAGTCTCTCATAATTTCTTTTACATGTTGTAGCATCAGCTATAATGTCTCCTCTTTCATATTTACATAAGTCCTCTCTTTTTTTCTTTATCTAGCTATTCATAGGAAATTGTTTCCAGCATCTCAGGCTCCCTGCCATTAGTGCTCACAAAATGTTCTTCTCTGGGTGAAGATCAGCACTTTGACTGAAGTCAAGGAGCTTTCTTTCTTTTTTTTTTTTTTTTTTTGGAGAGGTTTTTGCTATAGGGCGCGGTGCTCGCCAGGAAGACAGAGAGAGACAGAGAGACAGAAAGCGAGAAATCACCCCCATGGGGGATGGCCATGCCACAATCCCTTCTCCTCCATTCTCCTCTCAGGATCTTAGGCACGCACGCACACATGCCCGGCGTGAGTTTAAGCCACCAAGTCTGGAACTCGAACCGTGGTCGACAACATGGGAGTCCAGCGACATAGCCATTACGCTAACTGCTGGTCCCAAGGAGCTTTCTTTTTAACTCCTTTTTCGATTTCCTTTCATTAGTTTCAGAAAGCTATCCCAGTTCATAGAGTATGTGCTCAATACACACATTTGTTCTCTTAGCAAGAATCTTGCCCAGAACTTGTACATTTACAACACCAACAGCATGCTGGGTAACAATGTAGACTCCTCCAATTTTTCACATGGTGCCATTTGTGGGCCATTCCTTTTTGAACAGTGCCCATTACCTTGATGTCTACAATATGGCCTTTCTGGTATATTTGCATGTATGTTATCAAAGGAACAATGACATGGTTTCTGAAAGTCCTGGAGAACATAAAGTGGGTGCTTCTCCTCTTTTCACTTAGTGTTTATAAATAAATACTGGAAAATAGTGGTTCCAGCTAAATTTTTTTTTTTAGAAGTGATAGGTTAAAACACACACACACACACACACACACACACACACACACATTCACTCATGGGAACACAATTCCTAAGTCTTCTGGGTTTCTATTACAGTCTCTAGAACGGGCCTTGAGGTTCATTGCAAGCTTGGAGGAGGGAGACAGAATTCCTTTAAAGCTAGGAAATGTGTTGTAAAAGTAAGCAATTTCATTGGGTAGTTCTTGAATATTTACTATTTACAAGTTACCACTTCAGAGACTGGAGACACTGAAGTGAACAAAGCAGACAAAAATTCCAGCCCTCATGAAGCTTTCTAATGGTAAAGGTGACCTGTTCCATAGTCCTGAGTATGGTTTAGATTCAAAACCAAAGGGTATCTTTCATATCTTTGTGAAAGAACTTGGTACACCAGGAAGCACTTGGGCCAAAGCAGAGGGCTGTCAGTGAGTAACACATTGACATTGGTGTTTCATCACAAACAAGGATCTGATATTGATTGACATCCATTGCACAAGAATATAAGCAAGCTAAGTCATAATATCCTGGCAAAGTGTTTTCACATTTTTGAAAATAAAATAAAATATATCAGCCTATAATATTGAGACCTCGGAACCAGCAGTTGGCGTAATGGCTATGTCGCTGGACTCCCATGTAGTTGAACGTGGTTCGAGTCCCAGACCCGATGGCTTAAACTCACACCAGGTGCATGTGTGTGAATGCCCAAGATTCTGAGAGGAGAATGGAGGAGAAGGGATTGTAGTGTGTCCATTCTCCTGGGGGGTGACTTCTCGTTTTCTGTCTCTCTGGTGAGTGTACGTGCCCTATAGCAAAAACCTCTCCCCCCCCAAAAAAAAAATTGAGACCTCATATTAATCTTTAGAGTCAACAGAAAATATCATGTCTAAAGAAAAATGTTGTAAATCACTAAGTTTTTGTCTTTGTAAGATGGCAGTTAAAACAGAAATAAAGAAAATGTCATTATTTATAAAAATATAAAAATATGGTAGGGACCAGCAGTTAGCGTAATGGCTATGTCGCTGGACTCCCATGTAGTCGATCGACCGTGGTTCGCGTCCTGGACCGGGTGACTTAAAACTCACACCATGCGCTTGTACGTGCATGCCCAAGATCCTGAGAATGGAGGAGAAGGGATTGTGGCGTGGCCATCCCCCCTAGTGGGTGATTTCTTGCTTTATATATATATATATATATATATGGTATAAAAGAGGCCTTTCTGTTTTAGAGACAAATTCTTAGTTATTATGTGCCTAAAACCTTATTCATAGGCTGTTTGTTACATGGCCAGTGAGGCTGTGTCTAATCCATCCATGTTTCTCATTCACCTGAGGAAGTATAAAGTTGACTTGGTCTGATCAAAATCATGACGGAGCTCATGACACACAAAGGACTTCACTGTGGTCACGATGCACTGAATATATAAAGTTCAGGTAAAAAACATTTGAGTAATAGCTTAGACTCATGGGTCTTCTGAGTAAAAGGGTTACCACCAAAAGCATTTTCTATAATTTTTAAATGGGAAAGTAAAATTGAGCTAATAAAGAGCTTTTAGATCAGACTGAGAGGGAAACACTACAAAGAAAAAAAAAAAAACTGGCAGCTAGATCCAAAGAGGAAAGCCAATATTGACTTAAAATATTAAATTGACACAGCCAGGGTTTATATATACTCATGTATTAAGACACACACACACATACACACACAAAATACCTTTTTTACTAATATCCTAAGCTGCACAACCCTGTGAATTATTCCTAGTTTTAGATGGGACTTAGCTCTGGTTTCTAAATTGAGATATGAAAAAAGGCTGTTCTGATCTAATAAACTAGCAATTATATCTATGAATTTGTCATATTTACCTGTTTTTCCCCTTTTTGAACAAGCCATTTGCAAAATTCTTCAATGGTGGCCAGTGTTTCAGAATCCTCTGAGCCCAGTGTAGCTTGATATGCACTGATACTTTTTATAAAATATGTCTCAACGGTATCTGGAAAAAATGAAAACAAGTATTTAAAGCAACCTGCTAGCCTTTATATGTCTCTAATATGAGCTTTGTCACAGTCAATATTTTCATTCTTAAGGACAAATACCTGTTTATTCTAGGTCTTATAGGATCCTTAAAAAGTCCAAGGGAGGGACCAGCAGTTAGCATAATGGCTATGTCACTGGACTCCCATGTAGCCGACCCCGGTTCGAGTCCTGACCTGGTGGCTTAAACTCATGCCATGCGCATGTGCATGCATATCCAAGATCCTGAGAGGAGAATGGAGGAGAAGGGATTGTGGTGTGGCCATCCCCCTGGGGGGTGATTTTTCACTTTCTGTCTGTCTCTCTCTGTCTTTCTGGCAAGCACACGAGACCTATAACAAAAACCTCACCAAAAATAAAAAAGTTCAAGGGATAATTCAGTGGCATCAGATGGTGTTTCTTATTTTTATTCTTCTGATATAATGCTTGAATTTTTTGTAGGAAAAGAAAGTTTCTGTCTGAATAGTATTATTATTCTAAGACCAAAATAATTACTATACTAAACTCCCAGGTGTACTGTTAGACTATATTTTTAGCTAAATATAACTCAGATTGAGTACTGTTTTCTGACATTGCACCATGTGTGTATATGAATATGTGTGTGTGTGCGTGTGTGTGTGTGTGTGTGGTATGTGTGGAGGGAGGGAGAAAGAGTTGTGATTTTTAAGTATTTAAAAAATAATTCCTATAGGACATGTGTGCTTGCTGGAGAAACAGAGAGACAGAAAGCAAGAAATCATCCCCCGGGGGATAGCCATGCTCCAATCCCTTCTCTTTTTTCCTCTCTGGATCTTGGGCACACACATGTACACACACCCAGTATAAGTTTCAAGCCTCTGGGTCCGGAACTCAAACCATGTTCGGCCATATTGGAGTCCAGTGACATAATCGTTACACCATCTGCTGTTCCCTAAAAATATTTTTTTATTGTTTAAAATTTCATTTTAAATGTTGTCCCTTATCCAAACATTTTTTTTTCATAAAGAGGTTTTTGCCTTAGGGTGTGTGCTCACTGGAAAGAGAGAGAGAGAGATGGTGAGAGGGAAAGTGAGAAATCACTTCCCATGGGGGACTCCCATGTAGCCAACAGCAGTTTGAGTCCTGGACCCAATGGCTTGAACTCATGCCAGACACGTGTGCGTACGTGCCCAAGATTCCGAGAGGAGAATGGAGGAGAAGGGATTGTGGTGTATCCCCCTGGGAGGTGATTTCTTGCTTTCTCTCTGTTTCTCTCTGTCTTTCTGGCAAGCTCACGTGCCCTATAACCCCAAAAGCCTCTCAAAAATAAAAAATAAAAAAGAACAATGATGGGGGCCGGCAGGTGGCATGGTAGTTTAGGGTGCAGGACTCCCACTTGGCTGGCTGTCGTGTGAGTCCCAGATCTGGTGGCTTGCTTTATCACTTTCTCTCTCACTTTCTCTTGCCCCCCACCCCTGACCCCGGTCAAATTAAAATAAATAAAGTTAAATAAAATAATTCTTAAAAAAAATGATGTTGGTAGATTTTTCATAGATGCTCTTTATCAGGCTAAGGAAATCCCTCTATATTCCCAGTTTGCTAAGAGTTTTTATTCATAAATATGTTAGTTTCTGTCAAAAGCTCCTTCTACATCTATTGATATGATCATGAGATTCTTTACTTTGTTGGTGTGATACATTCATTAATTTTATAATGTTAAACTAGTCTTATATACCTGGAATAAATCCTACCTTGCTATGGTGTAGAATTCTTTTTATACATTGACAAACTTAATTTGCTAATGTTTCATTAAGAATGTTTATAGGGTTGAATGTATATAAAAAATAAAGAATAAATAAAATAAAATAAAAAGAAATGTAAAAAAAGAAAAAGAATGTTTATAGGGGGCCAGCAGGTGTCATGGTGGTTAAGGTGCTGGACCCCCATATGGCCAACTACAGTTCAAGTCCCAGACCTGGTAGCTTTCTTTCACACTTTCCCCTTTCTGTGTGTGTTTCTCTCCGGTCAAATTAAAAAATTAATAATAAAGCTGAAAAAAATAAATTAAATAAAAATAAATAAATCATTCTTTTTTAAAAAAAAAGTATGTTTATATGCTTATTTGTCAGAGGTACAGGTCTGTACTTTTCTTATATCTTTGTCTTATTTTGGTATTAGGATAATGCTGGCCTCACAGAATGAGTTAGGAAGTATTCCCTTTGTTTCCATCCTCTGAAAGAAACTACAGTGGATTTGGTGTGATTTCTCCCCTAAATGTTTGGTAGGATTTGCCAGTTTGCTCATTTGGGCCTGGTGCATTCATTTGGGGATAGTTATTATTGATTCAAGTTCTTTAACAGACACAGGCCTATTCAAATCGCCTATTTCTTCTTCTGTGAGTTTGAGCAGATTGTGTCTTCCAAGGAGTTGGCCTATTTCATTTAGGCTCTATAAACAGTGGGTCTAGAGATTTTCATAGTATTCCTCCATTGTTCTTTTAGCACCATGAGATCTGTAGTGATATTCTCTCTTTCACTGCTGATATTGGTAGTTTGTGTCCAACCTGGATTCATCCACTAATAAAGGTGTATCGAAGTCCCCGACTAGACTAGTTGGTGTACATGTACATAATGGTGTACATGAATGTTCTGGCTGATGTTCTCAAGAGCATCAACAATGTTGAATTAGGCCATGCTCCAAAGTCATTGTCCATTTCTAACTGTGATGATGAAGCATGACTACATTGGAAAATTTGAAATAATCAGTGACCACATAGCTAGAAAAATTGTTGTGGAGCCAGCAGGTCGTGTGGTGGTTAAGGCATTGGATCCTTCGTAGCTGACTGTGTGGTTCAAGTCTCGGACCTGGTGACCTGAAAAACAGGCTGGGCCCTGTGTGTGTGCCCAAAATCCTGAGAGAAAAATGAAGGGATTGCTGCATGGCCATCCCCCAGGGATGGCAGGGGAGGTAATTCTCACTTTTCCTCTTTGTCTCTCTCTGTCTCTCCCTGGAGAGCATACCTATACTATAGCAAAAAAAAAAAAAAAAAAAAAAAAATTCATTAAAAAAATTAAAATTATAGAATTGTTATAAACCTCACAAGCAGGTTAAACACATGTGGAATGATCAGCCTCATATTTTCTGTGCAACTCAAGATCTAGAGAAGTGATAGAATAGTCTGCTCCTAATCATAAGTTTGATTTCATTATACTGACAACCTCAGCGGGCATCATGAACCATGAAGAAGCAAGATGGAAACACAGAGGAGGGGAAAACCTAGGATTCTTTTTCCAGCATTGTAATACATGCATATAAATAAAATGCTTCAAGATTAAAATAATAGCTAAGGGTCTATTCAGGTTATCTGTTCATCTTCACTGAACTGTTTTTCATTTTATTTATGATACTTTGTAACAGAAACAAACTTTAGATCTTTGTGTAATTAAATCATCATCTTTTTCTTTTATGATATGTTCTTATATATGCTTAGAAACTTATTCTTTCCTCCATTTTTTTTTTTTAGAGAGTTTTATGCTATAGGGTGTGTGCACTTGCCAGAGAGCCGGCAAGACCAAAATCACACCCAGGGGGTATGGTCACACCACAATCCCTTCTCCATTCTCCTTTTAGGATTTTGGGCATGCACGCATACGCACCCAGCAAGAGTTTTAAGCCACCAGATCCAGGACTTGAACTGCAGTCAAATATGTGAGAATCTAACAAAATCATTATTCCATCTACTGGTCCCTATTTCCTCCAATTTTTAATACTAGTGCTTTTTATCTTGGTACTATACCTTATTCTTGCTAATTTGTATTTCATTTTTAATGTATAAAATGTCCCATCTGGAATTTAATTTAGTGAATGACATAAGGTGAAGGTCTATATTTTCTTTAAAATTAAAAATTGCTATGTAAAGGGACCAGCAGGTGGCATGGTTAAGGTGCTGGACACTCCCACATGGCTGACCACGGTTCGAGTCCCGGATCTGTCAGCTTGCTTTCCCACTTTCCCTCTACTCGCTTTCTCTCTCTCTGTCTCTCTCTGGTCAAATTAAAAATAAATGAATAAATAAAATTGAATAAATAATTCTTTAAAAAATTGCTATGTAAAAATATGAATAATGTAGCTTTGGAAACTTCCAATTCTATATGTATAAACTTTCTTTTTTTTCTCACAGAAGCTAAAAATTTTACATATTCACAAATAAATTAAATTTCTTATACTATTATAAATTTAAATAATATTCTATTTCTTATTTTTTTAGAAACTCAGCTACATATGCAGTACATTCACAAGGGAATTTTAAAATGAGAAAATGATTAGCTGGAAAACACAGGATCAAGAAATCGTCAAAGAATATTTATACTTAAGAAAATAAAAATTTTGAAAACAAGAAAAATGTTTGTTTAATGACATGGGAAATTTGATAAGAGTGGAAAAACGGATGCAAAACTTTCTCTGTAATTTACTCTCCATCTCTCTCTTACTGGGAAATAACACGACCATAATGGATTGCTGTTATAAGCAGAGAATATAAATATTTTCCACATGTTTGAATTAAATTCTTCACAAATCCTAAATTCCTCCTGACAGCCCTGATGGATTCATCAGTGTCCATTCACTTGATCAAGCCAACTGAGAGTGATACATTATTTTCCTTCACCTGTTCATCTGCACCTCCCCAAAGCCAAGCACTTTCAAAAAGATGACCTTGCCAGACAAAAGACTGTTGCTAAAGGGTAATCACTTGTCCTTCCTTTAGAACCCCCAATACCTCACTTTCAAATACAGGTCAAGAAAATTATAACTGCTACAAACATTCTCTCTTGTATACCAGAGAAAGAGTCAAGGAAAATGAGAATGGAGGAAGAGGAAAGAGGAACTAATGTGTTTCCTTTTTATCACTGGATTTCCTCATCTATTGATAGTCACCTCACAGGCCATATTCATGTGTGTATAATCTCTACTCTTTTTTTTTTTTTTTTTTTTGAGAGATTTTTGCTATAGGGCGCGTGCACTCGTCAGAAAGACAGAGACAGAAAGCAAGAAATCACCCCCCAGGAGGGATGGCCGCAGCGCAATCCCTTCTCCTCCATTCTCCTCTCGGGATCTTGGGCATGCATGTACACGTGCCCGGCATGAGTTTAAGCCACCGGGTCCAGGACGCAAACCGCGGTCAGCTACATGGGAGTCCAGCGACATAGCCATTATGCCAACTGCTGGTCCCAACCTCCACTCTTTATGAAGGGGAATTTTGTTGAGATTCTAAGGAAATAAAGGAAATAAAAATCAAATGATTTTATTGGTTCTCATGTTCCAATTAATTTGGGGTCATATTATCAGATCTAAATTCATGCATAATTTACCATTATCCTCTTTCCATTACAGGCGTGAGTAATTATAATCTTACTTATAGATAAATCATTTACCACTGTGATTCCCTCTTATGACTAGGAAATGATAAGAACTACTAGGCCACCCCTTCTACTTACCCCTGTGCTTGGCCTCTCTAGACGTGGCATAAGCTTTGGCTAGTAATGCACTTGCCTCTGCAGTTTGGGGGCTGACTTCCGTGAACAGAGAAACACAGATAGAATGGGCCTGGAAAAAAGAATTATTACAAGGTTTAAGCCACGGGGTCTGGGACTCAAACTGCAGTCGACTATGTGGGAGTCCAGCGACATGGCCATTATGCCAACTGCTGGTCCCGTGCTTCAGTTTTTCATTCTTATAATGAGATAAAAATAATAATATTACTATTTCACGAGGTTAGTATATGGATAAAATAAAATAATATATCCTCAAGTACATATAGTAAAAGCATTCCATAAATCTTATCTTCTTTTTTTTGGTGTTGTTGGGAAAACATTGATATTGTTTCATCCATTCTGATCTGATGATTGCTTTAAGAAAGTATTGGGCATGAAAATCAAACTAGTTTTCTATGTAAGCAGCAGACTCCCTGCCTTCATTTCTCCACAGTGCATATTTATCCTCTTGGGCTGTTGGATTGTTTGCAAAACCTTCTTTTTCTTTTTTTTAAAAAAAGAATTATTTTATTTAATTTTATTTATTCATTCATATATTTTAATTTGACCAGAGAGAGACAGACAGACAGAGAGAGAGAGAGAAAGTAAGAAAGCAAGCTGCCAGGTCCAGGACTTGAACTGTGGTCAGCCATGTGAGAATGTCCATTGCCTTAACCACCACGCCACTTGCTGGTCCCACCTTTATTTTCTTAAAGAATTATTTTATTTAACTTTCTCCTTCTCTTTCTTTCTTCCTTTCTTTCTTTCTCTCTCTCGGTGCCAGGTACAGGACTTGAACTGCGGTAGACCACGTGGGAGTACAACACCCCTGTCCAACACACCACCTGCTAGCCCCTGCAATCCCTTTTTTTCAGTAACTGTTTTTACTAATACACAGACTGTTAGAACACTTTGCACATTATCTGTGATACAGGAAATCCATGTTTTGATGTGTTTGTGGGAGATATGTGAAGCCACAAGCACCATTCTCATTTGGAAGAGAGAAAAAGTTGAATTCAGCTAGTCATATAAGTGTCCTAATTGTTTTCATATGATAGACTCAACATTCTTTCCTATATTGAGGTTTAGTTTCCCCTGAGCATTTGTCAAGTTAGGTACCTCCAAGTGAAACATTCTTTTGTTAGTTTAACCTTGAACTTGGAACTACAACCAGCTAGGCCAGCTTAAAGAACATATGACAGCTTTACACTAAAATACCATGAATTTTCGTTTAAAAGATCCTTTGTGTGTGCTGGAGACTCAGGTTCAGTTGCCTTATGGCTTTTTTTCCCTGGAGTAGACTCACATGGCTGCTTATTTCCAGCACCTACAGAGATAAGCAGAAGTGCTGTCCACAGATCAGAGAGCAGATCCACCCATTTGAGTCAGTGTTCTCCATCTAGGTTACTGAAGATTGACAAAGAGTTCTTGTGTGGATCTGGAGGGGAGTTGGGGTTAAAATGAAATCAGTCTCACCTTTTCTTATAAGAAGTCTAAGCCTCTCTGGCCCTAGGAAATGGGCCTGAGGCCAAACGAAGTCACCCGGTCTGGGCTCCAGCCAACTCACTGACCTGCTTCAAGTACTGGATGGCCTGGTCGTGGTTCCTCCTCAGCTGCTCAATTTGAGCAATTTCCTCATATAGACTGATCAGATCTGATGTCCTGTCACCCTTGGCAAGAACGTTGCCAATTGCCTTTTCAAAATATGCCAGAGCTAGGTTCAACCTGTGGCTGGCCAAGGAGGCTCTAAAACAAAAGGGACAATTGTGAAAAGTCACAGAAGAGTCATTTACTTTGTAGACACAAAAGGGACTCATTCTAGGAACTAATGTTTTGGCTTTCACAGACCAATCATCTGGGTGGCTGGCTTAAAATCCACCTTGCTACAAATGAACTCCTACTATCCTACATTTTACCCACCAAATTTCACAGGCTACCATTCATTATGTCCATTAACATGTTGTTCTATTATCTAATTTTACAAAAAGGCAAATGGAAAAAACAGCTTTCAGAAATCCGCAAGACAGGATAATTTACCCATAAACACAGACTCTAGGGAACCAGCAGGTGTCGCAGAGATTGGGGCGCTGGACACTCCCACATGGCCGACTGTGGTTTGAGTCCTGGTCCTGGTGGCTTGCTTTCTCACTTTCCTTCTCTCTCCTCTCTCTCTCTCTCTCTGTGTGTGTGTGTGTGTGTGTGTGTGTGTGTCTAGTCAAATTAAAATAAATGAATGAATAAATAAAAATTTTGAAAAAAGAATTGCATTCCTCTTTTAAAAAAATATAGACTCTAAAATAAAAATATTTTATTACTCTGGTTCACTCTTTCAAGTTAAGAAGTTTTCGCTTTGTTTCGTTTGATTTAGTTTGGCTTATTCGCCCCAGTTAAAAATGATAGGGGAGGGACCAGCATTTAGCATAATGGCTATGTCGCTGGACTCCCACATAGTCGACTGCGATTCAAGTCCTGGACCCGGTGGCTTACACTCACGCTGGGTGCGTGTGCATGAGTGCCCAAGATCCCGAGAGGAGAATGGTGGAGAAGGGATTGCGGCGTGGCCATCCCCCCTGGGGGGTGATTTCTCGCTTTCTGTCTCTCTGTCTCTCTCTGTCTGCCTGGTGAGCACACGCGCCCTGTAGCAAAAAACCTCTCAAAAAAAAAAAAAATGATAGGGGACTGGGGACCAGCAGTGGTGTGGTGGTTAAGGCGCTGGACACTCCCACATGGCCGATTGCAATTCGAATACCGGACCTAGTGGCTTGCTTTCTCACTTTCCCTCTCTCTCTCTGTGTGTATCTCTCTCTGTCAAATTAAAATAAATGAATGAATAAATAAAATTAAATAAATCATTATTTTTTAAAAAATGAGAGGAGACTGAGAAAAAGAATTTAAGTATTTCCCAGAGGAGATGGTTAAATAAATATGACACATACAAAATAATTCACAGACATTAAAAATCATGTTTTTTTTTTTAAACTAAAAGTATGGAGAGACACTAAAAATGTGCTAAGTTAAAAAAAGGTATTTAAATGATCCTGACATATAGATGGCCAGGATGTTCACAGCAGTTATATCTGGGTGGTTGTATTACAATTGACTTTTATTTTCTTCATCTTTTGAAATTTTCCATTAAAAAATTGTGACTACAAATTTTGTATTCTATTTTTAACTTTATTTAATTTATTTATTTTAATTTGACTAGAGAGGGACAGAGTGAGAGAGTGAAAGTGTGAGAGAGAGAGAGAGAGAGGAAAGTGAGAAAGCAAGCCGCCAGGTCCAGGACTCTAACCACAGTCAGTTATGTGGCAGTCCAGTGGCCCCAACCACCACACCACATTTGTATGCCAGCCCCGGGAAAACAATTTTCTACATGAGGACACAATGGTATCTCATAGATGTTCATCTTCCTAGAGACAGAAAGGCTGAGAAGAATGTGAATAGTTCAAAGGCTGTTCTAACAATTACTAGCTTTATCAGACCACAGGACCTTATACTTCCTTCTAAATAAAATACAGTTAAGTATATCAAATTATGAGGTTGCTATGAAGATTAAATATGAGTGGCAAAATCACCAAATATATCGTAGATCCACAATTAATATTATTTCTTCCTTGGGACCAGGAAATGGCATAATGGTTATGTTGCTGGATTCCCATATAGTTGACCGCAGTTGGAGTCCCAGACTCAGCAGCTTAAAACTCACGCTAGGAGCATGGGCGTGCATGCCCAAAATCCCGAGAAGAGACTGGAGAAAAAGCGATTGCAGCGTGGCCATCACCCCAGAAGGTGATTTCTCACTTTCTGTCTCTCTTGCCCTCTCACTCTGTCCCTCTCTGGTCAAATATTAATTAATTAATTAATTCTTTTAAAAAATAATAATGATATATTTTCATTAACCAGACTGCTACTTCCCCTTGGCCATAATAACAGAAAGTAGAGAATTATAATGACTTTCATTAAGAGCTTATAGGGAGATATTAGCCAGTTGCCTGAATAATCTTGCTCTGACTCTTCTGTTAAAATGGAAAACAGGACTTGCTTTATTAGATATTTGATCAATATCAAATGTAACTCAGGGTGGCATAGAAAGTGAGCTGTGGATTCAGATGCCCCAATAGAATTTTGGCTGATCTATTAATTCTGTCACCTTGTATTAATTTTTTCTCCTAATTTTCTTACCTGTAAAATTAAAATAATAAAAATACCTACTCTAATAGGCCATGGTGAAGACCAAATGAAATAAGTTATGTAACGTACTTAGAACAGGGTCCATCATGCAGTTACACTTAGTAAGTACTCCAATACTTAGAACAGTGCATGCACACATAGGTAGTCAAGGCCTACCCATGGTAGTGCACGGCAGGCCCTGCTGCTCAGTAGGCTGAAGCCACATGGGAGGTCTGGGTTCCATTCTCAACCTGTTCTGAAAGTTGGGTGTGGTCCCAGCTACTTGAGGGTTGAGACAAAAGGACTGTAACATAATGAAACTCTGTCTAAAATAAACACATACACATACAAATTTAAAAATAAAAGGTACTTGGAAGCCATGTGGTAACATGGTAGCTAAGGCACTGGACTCCCATGTAGCCGGTTCGAGTCCTGGACCTGGCAGCTTGCTTTCTCCCTTTCCCTCCCTCTCTTTTTCTGATGAGTACATGTGCCTTATAGAAAAAAGAAAAAAAAAAGTTTTAAATAATAATAATAAAATGAAATAATTTAAATAAATAGATACTCAATATATATCTTGGGATAAATGAATGAAATGAACACTGAAATTTACCCTGAAAATAGAACAAGGCTATCTTTCACATATGGAAGAAAAATCTTTAACCACTGCCTATGTGACAGCAATAGACACTCACCAGACTCTAATTTATGGCCCTGTGGACTTAAGTCAATAGTCTGATTTAGCTCTGGACATTCCAACATCTCCCCACCATTTCCCATTTGACTTCTAGATTCATGGTTGTTTAGAGGAGGCAGACGTGACTCATGTACTTCATTTACTTACCATTCAGTCATCTGGCCTATCGTGCAAAGTGCTTAAGTTTTGGAAACAGTCTGCTTTCAGGGATATGGAGATATATGAAAAATTTAGGGAACAGTAAGCATTTTATTATTTTTTTCTTTTGACAATCTGACGGGCCCACTCTTGTTTCTAAATATTCTGAATCTCAGAGGATCCTTAACTCAACTGAAAAACAGTTAAGTCTTGCTCTGGCTTGAACAAATTCCACGTACTTTGTTTCCATATGGAACAGAACTTTCCTTAAAAATGCACATGCTGTGCATAGCTTTGATGACCTCCAATTAATTGTCTTCATTAAGTGTTCCTTCCATATTTTGTTACGCTTAGTGACAAAAGTAGGTGGCAATTTAGGGGGAAAAATATGTAATCCTAGAAAGAGAGGCCATCTAGGGGCTAGCAAGTGGCATGGTGGTTAAGGCGTGGGATTTCCAAGGTTGACTGTGGTTCAAGTCTCGTACCTGTTGGCTGGCTTTCTTTCTCTCTCGTTAGTCAGATTTTTTAAAATAATAATGACAACTAAAATTGAATAAATAATTTTTAAAAAACAAAAGAGAGAGAGAGAGGCTATCTAAAGAAGGACTGACAAGTCCATGATCCCGCACTTAAAAGCTATGCCATCTTGGACATTTTGTTTAACTACAACTTCAGTCTCCTTGCCCTTTTCTAAAGAGATAATTGCACCAAACATACCTCAATGTTTTGAAGATTAAATGGAGCAATGCACATAAAGCTTGGAGCTTAGTGTATTTTGGTAAATAAAAGCCTCTATTATTGATTTGAGTTTCTGAGTTTTTTCCTCTGTGTATTTTTTCCCTCTCCCCTTGTAGAGAGAGTACAGAACAGTCATGTACCATAAAAGCCTCAGCTTCTCTAAGCCTAGTTCTTACCTGCCCAAAGCAACTGTTAGGTCTTTCTCTGAGACTTGTAATCTACAAATTCCTCCCCTATATAATTCTTTCAGCTCCTTCATGTTTCTCTCTGCCTTCTGCAGGTTGAAATAGGACTCTCTGCCAGTGACACAGTCAAGGAAAATGCCAGGCACACAAAGTAACTGCCCCTGAGCAGAGACAGCAGTTGATACACAAACAAAAGGGTCCCTTGGGAAAACAAAGCAATATTTGCAAATGTTCTCTATTCTCCATGTGTGTATGAAGTCAAGAGGAAGAATTCTTTAGAAAAGGAACAGGGCCTTGGGTTTCCTGTGGTGGTTGTCTGAATCCAGGGCTGAAGTGGGTGGTGAGTATACGCAGGAGTGAACTGAAACTATAAATTACACTACATTTCCTTTAGAGGCATCTACTGCATGACAACAGTTGTTCATTCTCCCCAAGTTCACTTGTATGACTGGTAAAAGAGAGGAACTAATTATGCTGAAAGGGCCATTTACAAAGTCCAAGCAAAGCAGGTTTTTGGCCGGAGGCAAATAGCAGGAAAAAAAATTAGCTTAATTCCCAAATATTCTTTCATTTACTTCATTTTCAATAGCCTCTGCTAAGGGTATAACACAGGAAGACTATCAGATTTCTCAAGTTGAACATCAAGACCAAAAAACTGAGGGAAATATATAGGACAGACTAGGGACACATGGGCTCCCAGAGTGCTTATGGTTATTCATGAACATGAAATGCCCTTAACATGTTTTAAGTGGAGACAGTACCAAAATACTGTCAAAAGCACAAGCTCTTTGAGAAGTGGTACATGTAACAGTCCCTTTGGGTGATATGGAAAACTACTTCCTTTGTCTATTTTGCTTGGCCTCCAGCTCCATGGGCAGTATTTTCAATAGCATTTCAAAAAGCAAAAACAACCAAGAGTATGCTTAATCAGTGGTTTTTGGCTGCACATTACAACCTAGGGGGCTCTTAAAAATTTCAATGGACAGATGCACCCCAGACCTCCTAAATCAAAATCTCTAGGGTGGGACCCAGACAGCAATAATTCTTAAAGCTTTCCATATTATTACAATGTGCAACACAGTTTGCCAGACTGTGCTTTAAATTACCACCCATTCTCTCCATTCATGCTGCTGCCACCACTTTCACCCACATCCTCATTGCTAATATTGATTTCCTTGAGTGTTCCTTGAGAGTGAGACAGACTCAGAAAACTCCCAACTGTCTGTGGCATGTACCATTAGGGAGATCTTCCCATGGCTCAACTTAGAACTTTGAAGAACAGATATAGGAGAAAAATTTGTACCTACTACATGGTGGTTAAAAGGCTTGCAGAGGGCCTGAATGTTAGAATAAAACTTCAGTGCCCTAGTTCTATCTCCCACTCTCCTGTGTGAAATGACACAACTCCCATGTATGGCCTGTAGTCCCCATTATCCAACCCTGCTAGGATGGAAAGGATATTGGTTCTGCAGGAGCCAGGCCACCCCCAAAGTGTAGTAGAGCATGACTAGAGCTTTCAGGATTTCCTTTTTCTCTTCATTTGAGATCGTGTTTCCCTTCCAGTTCAGCAGTGTGTTCTTGGCGGACTCGGCATGTTTCTTGGCCTGAACTGGGAGGCCTGGGGAAGTTAAAAAGTGGGTGGCAAAAAGAAAGACATTTAAAAAGCGTGTATTAGTCAAAGAAATTCCTAGGAAGAGATAAGATGGGCAGTGCGATTGTCATATATGATTTATAGTGCTGGGTCCTAAATCTGGCTATGAATCAGAATTATCTAGAATACTTGTACAAAAGATAGATTCATGGGCCTTACCCCATGCTTACTGAGTTGGAATATCTAAAGGGGATTCTAAATGGGGCCTAAGAATCTCTATTTTTAACTAACTCATAGGTGGTTCTAGCATTAGTCCATAGACCATAGTTTGGAAATCACCAATAGAGACAGGCATAGAAGCTGAGTATCCCATTCCCATTCTGCTGTTACTGACGTGTGACCTTTTCAACCCACAAAGCTTCTCCATCTTGCACATGTTGAATGGCAGCAATAACCGTAGAAGCTGCCCCTTACCAAATGCATGGAGACAGTCCAGGAACAAACTGGGTTATGCTGCAGAGTACTGTGCTTTGAGCTTTCTGGAAAAGACTTCCTATAAATACGAGACCTTATGAATGTAATTACTGCCATCTGGGAATTTTTTTCAACCCAAGATGAAGCTGGTGGTTCTAATTGGTCACACACACATAAAAAGAATCAAATTTCTAAATGTAGTGAGGTCCCTCGCTAAGAAGACCAAAAAATGCAAACCTCAGATAGACAGAACTGGTGGGGTTTCCCTTGTTTTCTAACTAAAGGTCAATGTTTCAGGACATTCAAGCTGTTTGTCTAGTTAACAGGGGCAGAGTTGGGAACATTCAGTTTAGAGGACTGCTTCCTTATTTTCCACCTAGCTCATGTCTTTCTCTCTTTCCGATGATAAGAGAAAGTCCTAGGGGAAAAGAGAAGGGCCAGCATAGACCTTGCCATCCTCGTTCACTTCCACTCTATTGAAAACAACAACCGCTGGTGTTCTATTTCAGTCCTCTCTCTGCAGGCACCTGGGAGTAAACAGTTACCCCTGCCAAGTAGGCCCACTAATCCTCACTCCACAGCCCGAGGTAAGTTTCGGCTTGTCCTGCCTTTGGCCCTTGGGACCTGGTTTTACACAGAATGGATGCAAGTCACTGTCAATAGGGCTCTTTCAAAGGACTTGCCTTTAATGTCTTCTGTCTTCATGAGCCGCAAAACATGCAGGAGCTCCTTAACAGAGTTATAATAGCAAAAGGAAACAAAGCTTTCTCTGGGAGAGCCCTAAAAGGGATGCCTGAGCTAGGAAGTCTCAGTAAACTTTGAGGGATGTCTGTTCCATAGGTCTCAGCTAAAGAGAAAGATGGACTCCTTGGTTAAAAAGACGGCTGGAACCAGACAACAGAGGCCCTCAAAGTACACCTTGCATCCTAAGCATCCTGTTAAAATGCCAACTCTTTGCCTCAATTCCAGTAGGCATAGTTCTGAAGGCCTGAGAGGGAACCAAGAATTCACATTTATAGCAACCATTCTAAATTATACTGATGCACATTTTTTAACTGCCACACTTGGAGAGCCAATTAGAATAATCTATATAGAGAAAGTGGGACTTATCTTGATTTGAAGAGTTGGTAGGATTCTGACTGATGAAGAGTGAAGGGATCTAGTTGGAATAACAGCACTAGACAACAAAGGTAGAATAAGTGTGTATGGGAGGGAGGGAGGGATAGCCAGTGGCATAATGGTTAAGGTAACTGGATTCCATAATACAGGCTATGTGGTTCAAGTCCTATACCTGGCGGCTTGAAAAACATACAGGTACAGCTTGAAAAACACCCAGGTATGTAGGCATGAGTGCACAGAATCCTGAGAGGAGAATGGAGAAGGGACTGGAGCATAGTCATCCCCTTTGAGGAGTTCTCTCTCTCTCTCTTTCTCACTCTCTCTGGGGAGCACACACACTCTATAGCAATTTAAAAAAGAAGAAATTTGTGTGTGTGTGCTTGTGTGTGTGTGTGTACCTGCATATACACACTAGTGAGGTGGGGGGGTTGAGGGAGAGGTGGGAGTGTTAGGGACTGAAGGAGAAGTTTGACTGGAGACATATAAGGTATTCACTAGGTATGGAAAATGAGGTCTCAGATGCCAAGATGATGATCTGTTAGGTAACAAGGAACCTTTATAGGTCTTGAGGAGGGTTAGCATCAACTAGCTAGTACACATGTGCATGTGTGCGCACACACACACCCACACAAAAAACGTATCTGCAACATCAGAAACTGGAATTGCTACTTCAAAAACCAAGACAATAAAGTAGGAAACTAAGTCTTTTGATCAAACAGGTTATTTTCCACAAGCAGGAGAACCCTAGGAGTGTGTCATTTAAAAGACCAACAAATTCAGGTGTTTTTTCTGAGTCCTTAGGAGGAAAAAAAAAAGGTGAAACTGGAGGAGCTACTGAAACCACCCCCACCTTCAGCACATGACTCCTGCTGGGCTCCTAAGTGGAAAACAAAACCACCATCTATAGAGAAAGTTGCCCCAGGCAGTCCCTGAGGCTTTACTAGCCTCCTTCCCAGAGGCCCAGAGGCCTGTATCTGGTGGCCAAAGTATCCCCAAGCTGCTTGTGAAATCCCCAGGAGGAAACTTAACCCTCTAAATTCCAGGGCCAATTCATGATAGTTCTTTCCACATTTCCACGCCCTACACTGTGGTCCTTCTTTTGAAAAAGCCTAGATGATCAGCTTAAGTAAACTATGGTCAAGTCTGATTTAAACCAGTTTATTATACTTTAAAGTGAGCTCTAAAACGGAAAATCACTCTTTTCACCTTCTGAGCTCACTCTAGTCTCCAAAGTCAGATGCATGTATCTCCACAGGTATGCAAGATGACACTGGTGAGGGGAAATGGAATCAAAACTTCTATTTTTATCTTACCTTTTTTCTACTTTTATGAATATTACATAAATACTGTTACATAAAACTTATAATACAGAGAATATTTGCTAATTCTTTTAGACATAAGGGAGCTGACCCTTAAAGACTTCACACTGTTCTAAACAAATGTTTTCCAATGTGATCGAGCTCTTATTTTTTCGTTAGAAACTAGTCCTTCGTTGTTTGTATTTAATTTTGTTTATGGCATTTTCTGCTATACAGATTTAAGTTGAGGCACAACATAAAGACAGTAAAGGACACAAATCTTATGTTATACCTCAACAGATTCAAGTTGAGGTATAACATAGATACAGAAAAGGACACACATCTTAAATGTACATTTTTTTTTCATAACAACAGTAGTAACTTTTCTTCTCTTTAATTTTTTATTATAATTTATGATTTACATATAATCATTGTACATATTTGTAGGGTACAGGATGATTTTGTTGTTGCTTTTTTAGATTTTTGCCATAGAGTGAGTGCACTCCTTAGAGAGAAACAGAGAAAAAGAGAGGGAAAGTGAGACATCACCCCCTCAGGGAGTTGGCCATGCTGCAAGCAATCCCTTCTCATACATTCTTTCAGGATTTGGGGCATGCACACACACATGCCCAGCATGATTTTCAAACCATCAAGTCTGAGACTTGAACTGTGGTAGGCCATATGAGAGTCCAGCATTTTAACCACTACACCACCTGCGGGTCTCCAGAGTGGTCTTTAAAAGGATGTATACAGTGTGTAATAAACAAAAGGAGGATATAAGCATATTCACCACCTTCAACATTTAACATTATATTATGTTGTGAATGTTCAAAACCTGCTCAAAAGTGAAACAGAGCAAGAACCCCCTAATGTATTTTCTAGGGTTCCTGAAATATAAAGTCCATTTACATTGTAATGGCCCAGAGTAAGGAGTAAGTCTTCAGACTTTGGTTATGATAATGACCAACATGGACCATGAGTGAGGGCCATTTGACCTCTAAAAGTCTCACTTAAAGGAAAGAAGGTTTTTATTTCAATATATAAGATGTTTTATAGACTGGAAACTGCTGGTTGTGATCTCAGAGACTCCAGGCTGAACAGTTCTAGACACCTGAAGAGGAATTTGATTATCGAAGGCCTCACCAATCAAGAATGCCCAGGAGGTGACCACGCTCTCTTCAACCAATCACTGAACTGATCATGCGCCTGGGCCCTCTGCCCCTAATTTTGCCCTTAAAAATGCA